TTCTCCTGGAGGTGATGTCCCCCAGTGCCCGCTGAGGGTCTCAGCACTCAGCTGTGGGATTTGTAATGTTTTGTGGTGTTGGGGTGCCAGGCTCCTGCTGTGGGAGTGTTCTGAGTGCTGGGGAGTGCTCTGGAAACGGGAGAAAATCCTGCAATGGTTTGTGTTGGAAGGGACCTTCAAGTGCCATGGGCAGGGACACCTCCACTGTCCCAGGTGGGGTTGTACCCAGATGGTTCAGTCTCTCCTCTAAGGGACACTCCACACCCTCTCCAGGCAGCATGGCCAAGCTTTTCTCATCACACCAGGGCTGTGTTCTCCATATCCAAGGTTTTCTCGCAAAACCAGGGCTGTGTTCACTACTGCCAAGGTTTTCCACCCTTTCTGCAACCAGTGTCCAAGCGTGCTGCTGGAACCGGAGGGACTGGAATTCCTCACCTCCCACTCTGGGGGGTTTGAGCCAGGAGAGGCTCCCTGACAATCACACCTAGGGATGCAGAGGTTACTCAGGCAAAGCTCTGTTAACAATGGGCTAAATCATCCTTTGTCTGCTGTGTTTTGTCATCAGATGCTTCGTGGCAGTCCTGGGGTTGAGTTCTCAGCTGGAACACGCCTTGACGCATCCCAAGGAAGGTGGGGAGCTCAGGAAGGGCTGCTGGCCCTGTGCTGGAGTGTGACATGCATTGGGATTCATTATTCTGCTTTCCTCTGGGCTGCAATGGCTTTGGCTACCTGAGCTCCTGCTGCTATTTCCTGTCGTGACACAGGGATTTTCCCAGGGCATGTCTGGAATGAAGCAACTTTCTGGTTTTATCCCAGCCTGTTTCTCCACTGTTCGTGTGTTCAAAGCAAGCACAGGGATTTTTATTTTGCAACTGTGATTTTTATGGGCAGGGAGCAAATAATGATGTGAGCACTGTGGCTCAGCAGTACCATCTGTATTGCTTTGGGGTAGATGCTGATTGAAAACTTTGCTCACAATACACTTTGTTTCTTTTAAAAGAAGTGAAGTTTCTACTGGGACCTTTTAAAAATCTTTCTTTGACTAAGGCAAATATAAATTTCAATCTAGTACCTCCTCATTTTGCATGTGCATCAAAAGACTTCCCTTTCTTCCTCAAAAATCAACGGTGTAGTTTGAGTCATCATTTCTTTTTGTGCAATAGGGATTGACTGGTGTGTCAGAAGAGGGACAGACAGGATGAGAAACATGAAAATAATGTGGGAGAGGAGTGAAACAAAAAAGAAAGTAAAATTGGGTAATAAGGTAGAGTAAATCAACACACAGAAATAATTTAAGACCACCCAGCTGCAGCATAAGGATTATTTATTTTTTCTCGACTTTAATGTTTTCAGCTACAAGTTTAATTTGGACAGAGTTTTTTTGTTTTGACCAGTCCTTGCTGAAGCAATCTGAGTCCTGACAGATCCACCAAGAGAGCAAGAGCTGTGGACCAAGGAGCAGAGGGTGTTGTGAGGAATTTCTCCATGGAAAGGGCTGTCCAGCCTGGCCCAGCTGCCCAGGGCAGTGGTGGGGTCCCCATCCCTGCAGGGGTTTGTCAGCCCTGTGCATGTGGCACCTGGGGCTGTGGGTGCTGTGGGCTGGTGGCACTCCGTGCTCTTGGAGGCCTTTTCCAAGCTGAGCAGTTCTAGGGTTCTGTGATGAGTGATCCCTGTGCTGGCTGCTGTAATATCAAAGCCTGGCCAAATGAGAGAGGAGCTCGCTCTTCTGAACAGGAATGCAGCTCTCCATCGTGGGGTGTTTGTGGGTGGAATGTGGAATTCCAGAGGAGAGGGGTGGTGGTGCACGAGCTGACACACCCTGGAGTTATTTGGTCAAGTTCAAGTGGTACAAATTCCTGTCTCATCGTTCAAAAGGCTAAAAATGGTCCAGACCACCAATTTATTTTCTTTTTTTTTCCTTGCAGCTTATGCTCTACAGATGAGACTGAGTCAGACAGATGTAATTTCAGTGATTATCCCTCTTGGCTTAGTCCTCCCCTTGCCTTGGTAGCTAAAGAAATCTTTGTAACCAGGGGATAGATAATATTTCCTTCCAAAACCAAGTGCAGAGTGGAAACTCTTCCCCCAGATGCTTTACAGCATCTGTGCATCACAACTGTAGCTCAAAGTCTTGTGGATAAAGATCTTCTGAGATCAAGCACTTTGTCCTCAGCAAAACTGGTTTTTTCATTCCTAATTGATTTTTTCTGTTCACTGCTTGTCCTCAGTGCTTACTCAGGACACACAAGTCCCCTTTCTACTCAGCTCTGGTAGTTTCCTTTTCTATTCCTTCCAAACTGTTTTTTCCCCTGATTTTTTCCTGCTTTGAAGCTGAGATGACAACAGTGTTTTTATCAAATGGAAACAGTGAAATATGGAATCTGAAACCATGAACTTGTATTTAGTACACATCCTTAGTGGTTACTCAGCAATCTCACTGTTCCAGAAAAGGTAATTTGTAAGCATAAGAACTGATGACAGTTTGTTTCCTACAGATTTTGTTTAATGGTTGATCAACTTTGGTGTCTAAGAGACAAGGTCTAGTAGAGCTTTTCTCCTGGAAAGACCATTTATTTATAAGGCTGCCAGGGGGCAGGGATAGATGGGATATTGGGATTCCTGGGTCAGATGGGATATTGGGCAGGAATTGTTCCCTGGCAGGGTGGGCAGGCCCTGGCACAGGGTGCCCAGAGCAGCTGTGGCTGCCCCTGGATCCCTGGCAGTGCCCAAGGCCAGGCTGACTGTTTTTTCCCCTGATTTTTTCCTGCTTTGAAGCTGAGATGACAACAGTGTTTTTATCAAATGGAAACAGTGAAATATGGAATCTGAAACCATGAACTTGTATTTAGTACACATCCTTAGTGGTTACTCAGCAATCTCACTGTTCCAGAAAAGGTAATTTGTAAGCATAAGAACTGATGACAGTTTGTTTCCTACAGATTTTGTTTAATGGTTGATCAACTTTGGTGTCTAAGAGACAAGGTCTAGTAGAGCTTTTCTCCTGGAAAGACCATTTATTTATAAGGCTGCCAGGGGGCAGGGATAGATGGGATATTTGGGTTCCTGGGTCAGATGGGATTTGGGCAGGAATTGTTCCCTGGCAGGGGGGGCAGGCCCTGGCACAGGGTGCCCAGAGCAGCTGTGGCTGCCCCTGGATCCCTGGCAGTGCCCAAGGCCAGGCTGGACAGGGCTTGGAGCAGCCTGGGACAGTGGGAGGTGTCCCTGCCATGGCAGGGGTGGCACTGGGTGGGATTTAAGGTCTCTCTTAACCCAAAGCCTTCTGTGATTCCATGAGAGAGGAACCTTGGATTTAGGATGGGAAATGAGGTCAGTGCCTTCCTTGCTCTATTGACTTTTATCTGGGTGCTGTTAATTTTCCAGGTACCCTGGACAGATGTGCTGGGTTTAAACTAACTGTGGCTGGCATCACTCAACGTGTGCCAAATCCGCTCCTGGTGTCAGGGAACTGTTCCATGTATTAATGTGGATATTTGGAAGCTGTTCAATCTGTACACTTATTGCAGTGCTTGCAGGGTAATTATTAATGTGCAGAGCAAGGTCCTGATTTACACAGCCTTTCCTATTCTGTGATTTTTTGACTCTGTAGCAAATACTGTAAAAATCCAGCCTGATCAGGAATCCTCCCAGATTTTCATTTCACCTGAGGAATGGATGGGAAGGAGAGCACTTCCAGCTGAGCCCAGACAGGGAGTATTTGTTGTTCTATGACTTCATTTATTTTGACATTCAGTAACAAAACCGACTTTGAAAACTAAGAAGTTTTGGTACTTGCACAAACCCTTTTCAGTTCAGAGCCCTGGTGATCCTATCTTGTTTTTGGTGGGAGAAGCAGTGAGAGTTCTCAGCTGTTTGTGTGAGCAGCAGCAGTGGCTGTGCTGCACAGAGCGCCGTGTCCTCCCTGTGATAAACCCTGCACAGCTCGTTGTGTCCTCCTCCAGTGCACTCATTCCAGTGCTTTGGAACTTCGGGGTACTTATCCTGAAGAACAGTTTCAGGTTTCCAAGCACAGACTGCAGCTGCCAGGAAAAATAAACTTGCGTTTTCGGCTCCTCCAGAGCAGCTGTAACCAGGGGGGTTTAAACTGGAGCAATGTTAAGAAATGGGGAAATAAAGCTTGTCCAGGGCACCCTGAAACACTGTTTATATCAAGCTGTATTTAAACTCCTAAAGGTTATTGTATGAGTCTTTAATTTATAATTTTTGAAAGCTCTTTTCTTTCCTCTCGGTAGGGTTTCTTTTTGTTTATCCCAATGTCTCAAAACATCAATTTTTTTTCTTCTGTAAAACAAAGTTTCTTAATTTGACTTAAACTATTTGAACAGGTGCTTGCATGTTCCCTGCTTCAAGGTTAATAACCAGATCAGTTGGAAAAGTCTGTTTTCCAATTTAATAAATGGCCTTTCCATTGGATGGGTGTTACTTGCTCTGTGTTTTGTAATCAGTCCTGAGTCCTTCATTCCTGGCAAAGGGGTTACAGATTCCACAGCACCCCAGTGCCAGGGACACCTCAGCAGCACTCATTAATTATTTTTGTGAAGATTGTGGATTACCTCACTTCCCTCATCTTGCCTCCTTCACTTGGATATGAGATGTCGGAAAGCCAGAGAAATAACATTTATCTGGTAATCCCAGATTCATTAATGAGATAGCTTTATAAAACACAGCATTTCATTTTCCATTAATACCTCCAGCCTCACTCAGAAGTACTTTAGCATTTCAGTGGGAGTTCCCACGTATCAAATGGATGTATCTTGGGAAGCTGCCAGGAAGGGAAAGTGCTGCTCTAGCTGGGGTTCATTTTGCTAATGAAGATTATTGTCTTTATTTGTTAAAGCAATAACATCATCTGATCTTAAATGTTCCAGAGCAGCAAATGGTTTAAATTGTTTGGGTCTATTATTATTTCTTAGTGTGACTGAGGGTTTTTTTAGTTGAACCTGCTTCTCTGAGGCACTCTGAAGCATTTTCTCTCTTTGTAGATGCCCCGCGACCAGACAGTGTGCAAATACTGCGGAGTCAGCTACCTGACACTCCACGAGTTCAAGGTGATGGAAGACAAAGTCAAAGCAATGGAGAAGGAGATTAAAGTTTATAAGGGAAGCCTAGAACGGGAGCAGAGGCTTCAGGCAGAATTGCAGGCTCTTCACCACGACCTCGAGCGCTGCCGGGCGGAGAGCGAATCCAAAACGGAAAGGTCAGAGCACATCATCTCCTCTGGAGACCCTCTCCTGTGTGTGGCAGGGAATTTCGGCCCAAAGCAGCTTAAAATACAAATAACATTTGTCTTTCTTTGCTCACATGGCCCATATACGCTGTAGGAGTTGATTTAAATCATCCTTCATGGTGTCCTGTGGAAGCAGGTTCAGGGTTCCTGAGCAGTTCAGGAGCAGTCAGTGTGTGGAAGGGAAGGAGAGGCCAGAAGGCACTCAGAGGGATTTCCCCTCTTATATCTCATCTTATAATCTTGTAATTTATCTCTAATATTCCAAATGAAACTCCACAGGACCGGGAGTGCCGCAGTCTCCCAGTAAAGAATTCCCTGTGTCCTTCCCTGGCAATCTCAGGATTCTGAATCTCTGCAGGGCTGGTTCAGGATCCTAAAGCAGTGAGGAGCAGTTTGGGAACTGCCAGGGGCATTTTGCTTGACAAACAGGAGGTTTCAAATCCTTACAGATATGGGAAGGCCCCACTAAAAGGGGGAGTTTTGTGCCATAAAACTCCAGTAATTAATGATAGATCTCAGAGCCACATTTGGATTTTCAGAGCACAATTAGGACCTTCAAATGTATTCTTTAGCTCATACTTACAGAGTCTGTATCCTTTGTTATGCACATATTTTGGAATCTATTGTTATATTCCATTAATTGATTACAGTAGGACTATAAATAATTGATGTTTGTAGTCAATTAATAAAAGATACTTTATAAAAATGCAGTTTGCTTGAGTTTGCCACTGATGGATTGAGGCTACCAGAAACTTCTGGGTAATTTTTGGCTCATCTGACTCAAATGGGCAGAAGTTTTTTTGTAAGGATGAGGTTCTAATTTTAATTATCAGCTCAGTTTGATTTTTGGAATCCCCAGGAGAGGTGTTCCTTGTGTGACTGACTCACACCAAGGGTTGTAGAGCTGAAGGTGCTCTTGAGATTGGACTGAAATGCTTTGGAAACCTACTTTTTTGGGGGAATCACTCAAATACTGTTAAAAATTAACTTAATTAATGGATTTAATTAGGCTTTTGCTTGCTAATATTACTGATAAAAAATTCATTTTAGAGCACAAGTTCCCACAAAAGTGAACAAAATGCATTTATCTTGTAAGTTACTCATAATGTTTCTTGCAATATCTTTTTAATTTAAATTTAACATCTTTTACCCCTCCTTACAGATATTTAATATTTTCTGTGGTTTAATATCTATTTTTAAAGCTTCTTTGCTCCTTGTCCCTTTAACAACCCTGGGTGGCAGCCCTGGTGGCAGTCTGTGAGCAAATGCACTGACAGCACATTCTTCTTGTTGAGGATCATTTGCCAGAGCTAAACTTTAAATTTTCATCGAGCTGACTTTTTGTAGTAAAGCTGGAACAGTTAATAAAATTTTTATCTCTGCACTTTTCCCCCCTAAGGCTCCACTTGATTTAAAAGCTGCTGAAATCAAGTGGGATACTCGCAGTAGGTTTCCATTCCAGCCATAAATCAAGCATTGTGCCTCGTTAAGAAACTTGAATGTTCCTTATCTTGTCCTGGCTGTCCTGGGCCTCTCTGCCTGCCTTGTGCTGTGGTGTAAACTATTCAACATCCTGGCTCTGGCCAGGCTGGCAAATCACTGCTCCCAGAAGCCAAACATGCCTCTTTCTTACTTTTATCTCTGCTAGACCAAGGGATTGAATCTCTTATCACTTGCAGACTGTTTCAGGTTTCTGTTCCCTCTGGGTTCAGGCATTCCTGTTGGTACCTGTGGCTAACCTTGAGAGCCACCTGGGAGTTTGCCTGTCCTTGGTTACCTTTCCTTTGGGATCCTGGCAGGAGAAGGGGAACAAACTGCACTGATCCCACTCAGCTTCAACCTTATTTTGCGTTAAAATCACTTCAGTCTTGATAATTAATTGAATTATTGTTCATTTAGTTAGCAAAATGAATCCACATCCAGTGTAGGAAATGTAAAATAGATGTAGATGCTGAAGATGTCCTCGAGTGCCACATCCTCACGTGTCTTGAACGCTTCTAGAGCTGGTGACTTCACCACTTTCTGAACTGAAAATGAGCAGCTCCTGGCTGTGAAATGAAAGTGAGCAACTCCTGGCTCTGGGCAGCTCCCAGAGTTCCATGGCAGTGAAAACGCCGGGGTGGAGGTGTTTTTTGGACAGATGTCCCAGGCTCCTGCTGCCTCCTCTCCTCCTGGCGGTGCCAGTGCTGCTCCATCCCAGGGGGACCACCCCGTGCCATGCAGTGCAGCTCAGGGATGATTCCTGTAGATCCCCTGGAGCACAGGAGATGCTCCTCGTGCTGTGGGACACTGAGGGTGTTTGCAGCTCCTGCTGGCTTTTCTTCTGCTGGCTTTTCTCCTGCTGTTCTCGGGGTGAGCATGTCCTGACCCCCTGCCTCTGCCAGGGCCCCTCCTGTGCTCCCCAGGAGCTCCAGGGGATGGATGCCAGCCTGGGCAGGGAATGCTCTGTGGGACGGGCTGAGATCAGCCTGTTCCTTCTCCAAATGGCAGCTTTTAACATCCACTGGACTCTCCCTTGGTGCTAAAAACCCCCAGAATAACGTGTTTGTTTTGCTTCCTTCTGTTGGTAACAGCCGAGTGCAACTGTCCTGCCTTTTCCACAGATTCTTTAGTGTGTGACTGAGCAGGACATGGAAACATCCCTTTAATGTCAGCTCTGGAATGGAAAGAGGAAGAAAATGTGTCTCTCCTTATTTACCAGTTTCTTTTTAATCCAAAAGATCTTCAAATACTCCCCATTCTAGAACAAGAAGGGAAAATGAGCATCCGGCTCTCCCTGGCTCCCAGAGTTTGGATTTGTTGTTGGTCAGTGATAAATCACTGATTTTTTCCTCAGCTGCAAACATAGATTTGAATTCCTGGAGCTGTTTAGGGGATGGACTTTTTCTTTTTTTACTTGTGAGTGACAACAGTTCTTCTCCCAACCACAATCCAACAGATTTTATCTCTCTCCTCCTGCTCTCCACCTCCTGGAAATTTGCAGGTAGCAATGGGTAAAATTTCCTACAAAGGTAATGCCAGGAATATATTAAATTTTTTGTTTTGATTTTTTTGGTGGGGTTTTTTTTGTTTTTGTTTTGTTGGGTTGTTTTTTTTTTTTTTTTTTTTTTTTTTTTTTTGGTTGTTTTTTTTTTTTTTTTTTTTTTTTTTTTTTTTTTGGGGGTTTTTTTTTTTTTTGGTTTGTTTGTTTTTTTGTTTTTTTTTGTTTTTTTGTTCCAGGGTTCACAACTGAGCCCCAAAGACTTGCTTTTTAACCCCCAGATGTTCAGTTCAGATTTTCTCAGAGCTCTGCAGATCCATGTTTCTTAACCAGGACTAGTATATTTTTAAATGTGCATTTTGGTGCTGATCTGTGTGATAACAATAACTAATGCACTGTCATAGTTTGGCTTAATTTTTATATATTTTCAGCATAAATCATTCTCATTCTCTTCTGCTGTTTAAAACTGAAGCCAAGGCTGATGTAGAGCTTCTGCCAGCCTTTGGTTTTGTAAAATTCTTGTCTATTCAAACATTACTTATTTACTTGTGGCAATGAGTCACCAGGAGACAAATAGATCATTCTCTCTGTGTGAGCAGTAGGTGTTGAAAGCTTAAACGGGCTGGTTTTTAACAGTTGCTTGTCACTGGAGTGGTATTTTTGGGGCTGGGAGGCTGCTTTAGGATGGTTATCTCCAGAAAACAGCTGGGGCTGATGTGCTCTGTGGGATTGTTCCTCACATGTAGCACAGGAAGGGAACTGGATTCAGCTCTTGTATTCCTGTGCAGTTCCATTCATTTCCTGACAATTATGGGAGCAAGTGCTGAACTGTTGAAAGAGCAATGTTTAAACTGTGTTTATTTACACTGGGGTAGCTGTGCCTGAAAAACAAACTGATGCTGTAAAGAAAAGTTCCCAAGGTAAATGTTAGAGGGGAAGAACACCTTGGGGGGATGGTTCTGGAGGTGTTTGCTGTGCCTGAGGCCAGCACAGAGCTGGCTCCTGCCCTGAGAAAGCTGGAACCAAAGCTGGAGGTTGATTATTGGTGCAAACAATTCTGATTATTTTACTTACGTCTGTAGGATAAAAACCCTGACAGTGGAACTTAAAACCAAGCAGGAGGAGATGAAAACTGTGAAAGCTGATTTGCAGTATTTCCAGGAGGAGAAGGAAGCTGCCTACAAGCAGTCACAGGTGCTCAGGTGAGAACCCAAAAAGAAATGCTGATGTTGGAAATGCTGTATTTCTTACATATATATTGTTCATAGAGGTTCACCATAAACCTGGGCATACAGTCATTTAAACATGATTACTCTGATTTCTCAATTAAAAATGATTGGACAATTTCTTGTACTGGATTTTGAAATGATGAAACAAACCCAGTTTTCTTCATTTATGTATAAAAGCTCTAAACATTTAGATGGGGAAACTTATTATACATATATTCAACACACAGCACATTTCATACACTGAATTATTGTAACCCAATGCAGTATAAATTACCAGATATTGGGAACAGAGTTGTCAAGCTTAGTATAATTCCCAAGTTTTATTGATAGAATAATTTATAAATATACATCTGGTACATTTTCTTTCTTGCAGAACTACCTTGGAACACCATTGCTCCACCCTGAACAAGGCTGTCTCACTGTTCCCTTTCATTAGGAGTGAATTAGACAGTATTAAAGAGGTCATCTCCACCAACATGGAGAGCTTTGCTGCCATGAAGGAAGAAATTTTTCGGCAAATAAAGGCCATGAGCAAAGAAGCTCTGACAGGTAAAGCACCCTGCAACCATTTTGGGCAAGAGAAAAAAGGATCCTGCAGGGTGTTGGTCCAGCATCCTTGTGGGAGCTGCTGGAGTGTCCTGCAGTGCTGCCCCCAAACTGGACAGGGCAAGAGAAGTAAAAGAGGAAAATGATGAAGGTGCTGGATACAATCCTGCTGTTAACTGTCCATCTTAAGTAGAGTATCAGGTCTGAGGGTAAAATTCAAAGAATTAGCCTCATTTTGAGGGCAGGACCAGCAAGGACTTGTGGAGCTAACCCACACCCAACAGCAGCAGCTCTCCCTGCTCCCATTCCTGGGAGAGAACAAGCCCTGCCAGGTGCAGCCCTCCTTATCTGAGGGGTCCTTGGGCCTGCAAGGGGCACAGAGCAGCCCCTGGGCTGGCCAGAATTCCCTTGGCCCCCAGGCTGCTTCCTGCTCCCACCAGGGCCAGGGGAGCAGGGAGCAAGGACGGCTGAGGGCTTTTTCAGGAGGGGCCATGCCTAGGCTCAGGCTGAGCCTTGGGTGCCATTTGTGCTGAGATTGGTGTCACTGAGAACAGTGTGCAGTGGTGCAGTTACAGACTGCAACAGCCAGAGCCCCCCAGCTGGCCCTGTGCCCAATTTACAGCTCTAAAGGCCTTCAGAAATAATCCTCTGACATATTCCTGTCCTAGCAGTTTTTCAGTGTGGATGAGTGGATGAGCCGCTGTTTGGCGTTGGGACAAAATCACAGAATCTCCTGAGATGGGGAGGATCCACAAGGATCCAGTCTGACATAAATGAAAGGGCAGGAGGTCTTTCTCCTTTTCAATGCCTTTATTAAAGAGATTCAGCTCAGGTGGGGAGAAATCGACGAACCCAAAGATCCCCCTGCTGCCCAGATTAACCTCAGTTTGGTCAGGGCTTTGAGGGCAGGCTGGGGATGTGCATCTCCACCTGCCCCTGTCCCTGTGAGCTCCAGAGCAGATCCACAGGGAAACCCTGCATGCCTGGAGCAGCTCAGGAGCCCTGGAGCTGTTTGGCACAGCAGCTGCCCAGTGAGCTGTGCTTCCTGGGCCATGAGCAGTGAATTCCTCCCTCAATGGTTGCTTTGTTCCCACTGGGAAGGGCTCTATGCCTGGAGAGGATGAGCCCGCTGAGACACTGAGCCAGCACCAGCAGGAGCTGGGGCCCTGGGCCACCAAGGGCTCCTGCCTGCTGCAGGTGTGAGCCCAGAGCATCCCTCCCCAATCTTCACTCCTGTAAGGACAGAGGAAGGTTCCTGTGTCCTGAGGATTCCCCTCTCCCTGGTCTCATTCCCTGCCTGCTGCAGGCTGGGGGTGATGGCAGCACGTGTCCCTGCAGACTTCTTCAGCCTCACATACATTTCAAGGCTTCTTTTCTGGAGTATTCCTTGTTGTGTTTGTTGTAGTACTCCCAATATGCAGAGGATCTGTGTGGAAGCAGGAGTGGAGCCTTTCTTACAAGGTTCTGTATCCCTCAGCATTTCCCACTTCAGACTAGTGCCACACCAGGAATATCACACCCATCCTCAAATCCAGCTTTCCACATCAAAACAATTTAGCCCCACTTACTTTTGTTGGCCTGTGAATGCCATTTAAAAACTTTGATGTTCTTGTTCATAATTAACGTAAAATAACAACAGTCTACATGGATTTGTTTTGCCTCCTCAGAAATACCCAAATTGAACCAAAGATTGGCAAAATCCCAGCGGGAGAACGAGTGTCTGCAGGAGAAGGTCAAACACCTCACTGAGGTGGCTGACACAGTTGAGCTGAAAACTCAGCAGCTCCAAACTTCCCTTCAGCAGGGGAACGAGCTCCAGAGTCGGTGCCGTGAGCTGCAGAAGGAAACTCTGGGTAAGAGAAGTTTTTTATCCTTTCCAGCAAAAAATCCCAGGGGAAAAAGAAATGTTTTTAAAAGCACAAGAGTTGTGGTTGTTACTGTGAAAAGACTCCACGGGCCTGAATAAAAGGTGGGTGCCTGCAGTCAGAAGGAGGGAATGTCATTCCAAGGAGTCTGGAGGCCTGCTGGCTGGGAGGGCAAGTGAAGAAAAGAGGGAAACCATGAAGGTGGTGGAATACAATCCTCTTGTCAATTGTCCAGCTTAAGTAGAACATCAGGCTCTGAGGGTAAGATTCAAAGAATTGGTCTCATTTTGAGTGCAGGACTGGGAAGGACTTCTGGCTCTCAGAGCAGGACTGAAAAGCAGGACAGACCAAGCCTTTTCTCTGAGCCATTAAACAGCAGACTCTAATGATCTGCCCTTGATTGTGTCTCAGGAAGCAGAGAATGCTCTTGAAAAGGGTGAGAGCAGTGACAGCACTTGAAATGACACCCTGGGAGCTGTGTGCAGACAAAAACTCACTGCAAAAGGATTATTTATGTGGGTATCTCTTGGATCTCTTTTCTCTTGCGTTCACAGCTCTGGCTCAGAGGTATTTTAGGACCTTGGGAACACGTGTGGGCACGGCACTCAGACTGTAATAACAGGATAATATCTTATACATTAATATTTAATTGGTTTGTTCTTACAGCAATACTGCTGAAAAGCTCCAGCAAAGACACCTTCTTTCTTTGTAGAAATTATAAGGAGCAGTGGACATAAAATCTCCTCAGGAGATCTCTCACACTCTGAAATACGTGGGTTAGCATCATGACACCAAACACCTGTACTGCTGTATTTGTGTGATGGCAAAACTGCCTTAGCTGAGTCCCTTTCCCCTCTGCTTACTCCAGAGGTTGCTGCAAACAGTGAGTTCAGGGTTTGTTCATGAGCATGGCAAACAAACACTTCCAGTTTCAGCTTTGCCCCCTTTAACTCCATGCAGAACTGCCTTGTTCTTACCTTAAAAGAGAGCTTTTCACAGTCTCTATTTTATTATGTTTCTAAAGGTTGTTCATTGTGTTCTGTATCTTTGGGGGGTCTGCATGGCTTCTTGGATCTTCTGACAACCTCAGTTTTCTTCCCTAAATTGGCATGTTGCATCAGCCCATCACAATTAATGATCACAGAATCCTGGAATGGTTTGGGTTGGGGGGGACCTTAAAGCTCATCCCATCCCACCCCCTGCCAGGGCAGGGACACTTCCACTGTCCCAGGCTGAAAATTTGCAGTGAAATATAAAACAACTGAAATTTTATGGAGAAAACATAGCTAAAAACACATCTAATTCCATACATGGAATTCATACAGAAGATTAGGACCCTGAAAAATCTTAATGATGAGTGAAAATACAGTGTAAGCTGCTTGATGTTTTATGTGAGGCATTTTAAAATTGATTAATAACATGTAGCAGTCACTTGCTAATAAATGAGTTATTAAGAAGCAGTAAAATGTTTGATGTGGGTATGCAGAAGGAGGTTTCAGGGCAGGAAAGCTGCTGGCTCAGGCATTTGGATTCCACCCTTCCTGAATGGATCAGTAAAACACAAATCCAGGAGGATTTCAAGGGGTCTGGCTCTAGGGAACACGTTGCTGCATCGGGGTAATAAACCCAGTTAATGCACTGCTGATAAAAATGGTTCTCTTTGAAATACCAAACAGGGTTTTTTTCATGAAGCAATCATTAAATATGAAACGAGTTTGCCATTGTATTAAAGTAAATGAGTGGGAACAAACAACATCTGACTGGAAATCAGTTCCAGGGAGTGGATTTGTCCTGCCCAAAGTGGGGTGTGGAAATCAGCCACATCCTGAGTGTCCATGCTTTGGGGGGAGCTTGGGGTTTTGCCTTATTTTGCTTTTTTTCCTCCCACAAACTACTCCAAAGTCCCTCTTTGAAATAATTTGACACTCCAGAAATAATAAAAACTACCAGGATTTGTGATTTACATATTTTTAAAGGATTTTCCTTTCTGCCACTGATATTTTGAGGATTCTTCTGTTGCATGTTCCTCACAGAATTGTAAAGTCATGATTATTTCACATCACAGCAGGCGTTTGCAAGAGCAGGGAGCAAGCAGTTGTTCCTGCTGTTGTTTTTGGCTCTCATGCTTGTCGAGGCTTTCTGGAGATTCCCTTTGCAGGGGATTTGTGGGATCAGATGGATTTGCTGCCTTCAAGGCACTTTTCAGCCTCACAGAGCATCACCCAGTCAAGGGAGGTGACAAATGCTCAACGCAGGGTAAGGTCTGCTGGGTAATTGTTTAATCAATCAGCTTCCCCAAATCAAAAATCAATAATGGTGATAATGTGTCTGTTCTTAGTGCTGGCAGCAGCAGGGCTGCAGTAGCACGGGCTCCTAAAAGATTTCTGCTTTCATTTTATTACCAGCTAGATCCTTTATTTAATCACAAATAAAAAATCGGGGTTTTTTTCCCCAAAGTCCTTGTGGTTTTTCTTTAGCTCACGACAGCTCTGGCCTTGCTCTGGATGGGTTGAAATTGCTGCTGATGCTCCCAAAATCCCAATTTGTGGTCTTTGGCTGCTCCTGCTCCATAGGCTACTTCAGCTCCCAGTCCAAAGCTGGTGGTTTGCTGCCGTGATGAGGCTGCTGAGAGGTGATGGAAAACTGCTCATGGAAAGGAGAGGGAATGTTAGCCCTCCTCATGGAGAAGGAGGTGTTTTCATCTCCTGGAGTGTCTTTAATGGCACTTTAAAAACCACTTTGAAGAGCTTTGAAAATGCAAAGGGGGAATAGTTCCCTGCAGTTGTAGGCAGGCTGCAGATCAGCCAGCTGTAAGTGCTGTTGAAATGTATTTTTTTATGAATTCCAGCTGCGGTGGGGAGGCTGGGGAGGGTGAGAGCTGGGGAATACAGGGCTGCTGTTGGAGCAGAGAGTGAGAGGCCATGGCTCATTAGAGCTTTCAGCAGCCTGAGTGCCAGAGGAGGCCCAGGAATCCATGGCAAACAATCCCAGCTCCCTGCCAGGGGCTGGGACCAGGCTGCTGCAGTGGCACTGAGAGAAGGGCCACACTTGGCTTCCTGAGGAAAAGCAGGAATCCAGGTTCTCCTCTGGAGCCAGGCTGGGAGAGGAGAAGGATCCAGGAGAGCTCAGAGCCCTGCCAGGGCCTGAAGGGGCTCCAGGAGAGCTGGAGAGGGACTGGGGACAAGGATGGAGGGACAGGACACAGGGAATGGCTCCCACTGCCAGAGGGCAGGCATGGATGGGAGATTGGGAATTGGGAATTCCTGGCTGGGCTGGGATTCCCAGAGCAGCTGTGGCTGCCCCTGGATCCCTGGCAGTGCCCAAGGCCAGGCTGGACACTGGGGCTGGAGCACCTGGGACAGTGGGAGGTGTCCCAGGGGTGGCACTGGGTGGGATTTAATGTCCCTGCCAACCCAAACCATGATTCTGTATTAAAGGATGTGTCTTTATTGAATTTTGTTTTGTCTGCTTGGCCTAAACATTGAGGGTAAAAAATTATCCCCAAGGAAAATTAAGGTGAGGATCTCCATGTTTTTACTGTTTAGTTTTTCCAGTATTTCAAGCCAATGTTAATGTGTAGGAGAAGAAGGTCTGTAGGAATTGTGACATATCCCAATTAGCAGGCAGGAATACAGGCAGAAAATTCAGGCTTTAGACCCAGGCCTTTGATGCTGGAGTGTGAACTCTGGCCATGGATGAGCAAAGCCAGTCCTTCTGAGGGCAGGAGTGCTTGTACTGTGTCACTGGGGGCGTGGGAGGGGAGCAGGCTTTGCCAAAACAACATTTTTTTCCCTTTTTAAGGATTTTTAAGGTCTTGGAGATTGCCATGTTTGCGTGGTTGCAGTTGTTGGTTTGTTCTGTTGAGGCTGCCCCTGATTTGTGCCACTCAGAACCGTTTAGAATCCGGTCCCTTTTTCTCTGCTGGTTTTCTGAAGGTGGAAGAATGAAGCAGGGGGCCATGGAGCCCAGGCTGGCCGTGGCCAGCAACATCTGCTGGGGGAGATAAACCTCAGCCACTCCTCTCCTGGCACATCCTGCCAGCTCCTGGCAGCTCTGGGTGATTGGGACACTTCCTGATGGCACTGGGGAGGTCTCCAGAAGGGATCTCAATCTGAAATCCATCCCTGGGCTCCTTCCAGACTTTTGTGAGTCACAAATTAAAAGAAGGACTTTGTTGTGTAGACCAAAAAAAAAATTATCTTAGAGAACACAGTACATGAGCTATTATAAATACAAAGAATTAGTTCTGTGCTGTGCAGGGCCTTGGGGTGTTACTTCACTTCTTTGGTCTCCTTAGAAACACGTGGTGAGGCAACGTTTTCCTGCTCTGACACTGTAATTTTTCATGCATGTATTTCATATTTCTCACAGAATGTCTGCTATGCTCTTTAAAAAATTGTACTGGGAACTATCTGTGCTAAGTGTACCTCTGACTTTGCCTGGAATTAGTGTTCTGAGAAAAATTAAATATTTTTGCCCCCTTTGGCACAGCTGATTGGCCAAATTCAGGGCCCATACAAGGGGTAGTTATCAAGTAAGTTTTAAATAATTGCTACAACTTCCTTTTTCCCAGAATCCAGGAGAAATCCAGCAAGAGGGGCTGGGTTGCAGCCTGCCTTGGCCAGGGATCTGTGTGCTCTCTGTTCCAGTTCCTTGACCATCTCCCAGCTCTGAGCTCCAGCTGGTCCCTGGTGGCTGGGAGGGGACCCAAAGTGGAGGGGAGGGGAAGGTGGAGGATCCCAACCCTCCTGGGGGATGGCAGATGGCTTTGAGCCTCAAGCTGTGGCTGCTCCTTCCCTGCAGGCCAGGCTGGATGGGGCTGGAGCACCTGGGACAGTGGGAGATGTCCCTGCCAGGGCAGGGGTGGCACTGGGTGGGATTTAAGGTCCCTTCAACCCAAACCATTCTGGCATTCTGGGGTTCCATGATCTATTTGAATAGATGAAATAATGAAATAATCTTCATTGTTGTGCACATGTATGAAACATTGAGCTTTTATTTAGATCACCCCCAAATTGTCAGCTATTATATTGGATTGGATTTTGTAGGTTTTGCAGGAAAAGCAGAAAATTACACAGCTCTACCACGTGTGCCTCTGATCCAGCCTCACTGGGAATCTGGTAGGAATTAGCTGTGGAGCTGATGGCTTCCAGAGTGGCTGCTTAATATTTTTATTTTCCACTGAAATCTTCACCAGTTGTTGCTGTTTCCAGGCAGGAGCTGGGGCACCGTGCCCTTGGATGCAAACTGGGTGGTTCCACTCCTGAAAGGCAGCTGTGGGCAGGCTCTGCTGGGTGTTGGGCACACACCAGGGGCTGCAGTGATGCAGTTTGCCCAAGGAAGAGGGAACAGTGCCCAGTTTGTTCTGTCTCTGGTTCTGTGGCTCGTCAGGTCCTCGTGCACGGCGGGGCCGTGCCCCTCAGTCCCTGTCCCTGTCACAGCCCTGCTCACAGAAGGTTACTGGAAGGTTTGTCACTGTGCTGAGAGCCATTCTGAGTCACAGAAATAAGTAAAATTCAACAGAAGTGAAACTGAGATGGATTTGGCCTGCTGAGTCTTTGAGATGAGGTGGTTCCTGCAGCATTGAGCCGGTATCAGTATTACAGAGTGTGAGTTCTTTGCATGTTTTGCAACAGGCTTTATTTTCATTACCAGAGAACATTTTTACATAAGGGGTTGAGTACATTTTCCTCTGCTCAGCAGGTTGAGCAGTTTCCCTTTGTATTGCCATTCTCCTTATTAGTTGCCTCATTTTCACCATGGTTTTCATTGACATCTGCCTCCATGGGTGTGGGACTTTCTGCTCACCAGCTCCCATTGACCTTGGTGGGAATTCTCTCTAGAGAAGACTTGCAGAAACCATTTGTGTAATTAAATCCATCTATTCCCTCATGAAAAACTCCTGTCCATGCTCAGTGAGCATGAAAACTTCTGAGAACAAATGGAGTGAAAGAGGAAACAGCTTTGAGAGAGACCACCCAAAGTACAGAACCAAACCAAGCATCATCCCTCTCCTTTTCCTTTATTCCAGAACTTGTGTCCACACTCCCACACTGAGGGAGAAGAAAAAAATACCACAGTTATTAATTATTGGCAGAAATCTTTTAAAATAACAATTTTTAACAGGTCAGAAAGAGTTGTTTGGGGAAACTCTGTGAGGGTGGGCAGAGGGCTCTGCTCTGTCTGGTGTCCACCCACACTAATCTGGGCTTCATCTGTGTCCAGTCACAGAGTTCCTGCTGGCAGGGCTGGCTGCTCCCCACTGCTGTGCCTCACATCTGCTGGGCAGCTGAAGCCAGGGCTTCTTCCTTTTCTGCAGGAATTCTGCCAGGAAATGGAAGCTGGATTCTTCAGCTTTGGGAACGTGCAGGACAAGGCTGAGGAATGGCCAGTGAGGGGAGCAGCAGGGGCTGCAGGTGCCTGATGTGTCCAGAGGCTGCTGGGCCACCACTGCTGGCTCAGGGACAAGGGGAGAGGCCACCACTTGTCACAGCTTGGAGCTCTGCTCGCTCAGTCCTGCCTCCAGCCATGGCAGTGACAGCACAGGGCTGTCACAAAGGTGCACTGCACAAAAATGATGGGTTTGTTTGGTGTTTGATTGGCTGTGGCACCCACGGCAGGTGCTGCAGAAGCTGCTTCTACAATTAATTTCCATTTTTCCAAGGGTTCAATCAAGTCCAAGAAATTTTACTGTTCTCTTCAAAAAGCTCTTTATAAATGCTGATAGTTTGGAATGGATCTGGCTCGTCCTGTGTGTTTTACCCTGTATAATTCTCTCCATGATTATTTTTGTTGTAGTCTTATGGACCATTTTCCTTTTCCCTTTACTGAAAAGAGGGGACTCTTCCACTTGTAGGATTTATCAAGATAAGGTGTGGCTGGCAGGAAGTCCCACACTGGGATCATCCATCATCATTGCTGGAAGTGACTGACAGAGACATGTGGGAAAAGTCACAGAAATTCAGGGAATTGGGGTGAAATGATAAATTTAAGAACAGGAGTGGCAGATTTGGCTTCTGGGAAGATGCATCAGGGAGCTTTGAAGGACTGTCATGGGAGCTGTTCCCTTCAGAGACAAGGTCCCCTCACTTTGTTTGCTGTTGCTTTCTGAGGAATAATCTTGCTTTTTCTTTCACTTCCAGATCTGTTGCAATGATTTGCCATTGGATTTTTTTCCATGTAGTTTGTCTTGCTGTCCTTTTGGTAGAAACTTTGATTTCAAATCATTCTTAGGCTTTCTGGAAAGGCAGCTCTTGTTCATGAGGATATTTAGAGATGCCCAGGTTGCTGTGGCTGCCCCATCCCTGAGGTGTTCCAGGATGGGGCTTGGAGCAGCCTGGGACAGTGGAAGGGAGCTGGGACTGGATGAGCTTTGAGGTCCCTCCCAGCCCAAGGCATTCCATGATTCTGTGATATGTTCATGGAGGTGAAACTCTGATTGAGCCATGTGCTGCTGCTTCAGCTTAAAGGGCTTCACATCTGCCAGTTATGGCTGTTCTTGGGATTTAAAAGCACTGAAAAGGGTGATATTAAGGCACACAAAACCAAGTGAGATAATTTAACTAAAAAACCAGGGATTGTCCTGGGAAAAAGGCAGTGGCTGATGGGAGCTGAGGTGATGTGTTCTGGAGGATGACATGTAGAGGATAAGACAAATAAATCATTTAATTACTGCCAGGGTTTCAGATGAAGTGAATTCCAGGTGAGTTTTGGGGCCACCTTCCTGCATCTGTTTGCTCTCTGTACAAACAATCTGATTTCAAGCAAACAATCTGATTTCATGTTTCAGTGTAGTTGCATTTGGTGTTTTCTGGTGGGATAAAAAGCCCCAAACACACAAACAAACCCCAGCTTTTTGCTGTAGAGACACTCTGCTCATGTGCACTGCCCTGCCTGAGGTGGGAGCGAGGAGCTGCAGGTCCCACCTGGAAACAAACCACTGAAGTGGATTGATTTAACATGAACAGAGACACAACCTCGTGTTTTTGCTTTCAGATTTAACAAATCAGGTGGAGACAGCTGGCCTGCAGCTGCAGAAGGTGACAGCAGAGATGGACCACTACAAGAAGCTGTTGCTGTAAGATTCCCATTCCTTGATTGCTTCCCACTGCACATAAAACACATCAACCACTTTTTTTTTTTCCCAGCAAGTGCTGCTTGTCACAGTGTTCTGAGAAGGTTCTGACCAACAGAGGAACTCTTTTATCTCCATGGGATTAATTCTAAGCACCTGCCTGGGGCAGCCTGGCTGTGGGAGCAGGGCTTCCTTCCTCCAGCAGGGATTGCTGGAACTGCAGAGGGATAAGGAGCCTCACCTAACACACAGGTGTAGGAGGAATTTTGGGAAATCCACCTAGCTTCAGGACTGAACATGTGTATATATACACATTTTTATGTAGGAAGGAAGGAATATATAGTGATAGAGCACTGCCAGAGGGCAGGATTGGTGGGATCTTGGGAATTAGGAGTTGTTCCCTGGGGGGGTGGGCAGGCCTGGCACAGGTTTTCCAGGGAATTTGTGGCTGTCCCTGGATCCCTGGCAGTGCCCAAGGCCAGGCTGGATGGGGTTTGGAGCCACCTGGTCTATGGAAAGTGTGGGTGGAACAAGATGGGCTTTGGGGTCCCTTCCAGCCCAAACCATTGCAGGATTTTCTCCCATTTCCAGAGCACTCCCACAGCAGGAGCCTGGCACCCCAACACCACAAAACATTACAAATCCCACAGCTGAGTGCTGAGACCCTCAGCGGGCACTGGGGGACATCACCTCCAGGAGAATCCAGAGGGATCCAGGAGCCAGAGGATGCTGAAGAGGCACCAGTGGTGCTTGTGGGGCTCAGGAGTCAGGAGCTGGCACTGCCAGGCTCGTGGCCACCACCAGCTCTGTGCCCTGCAGCCTGAGCTCAGGGACTGTGCTCTCGTGCCCTGCACCTTCTGCTTCCAGTGCCTGCACTCGGGGGTCTGACCACGACCAAATATTTGGGGTGCTTAGCAACAAAGTACTTGAGTGATAATGTAAGGATTGAGTGGGAAACAAAGATGTCATGAACACAGTTAAATCAACACTGAGGGCTTTCCAAGTGTAAATTGACATTTCAGTAATAGGGGCACAGTTTAATGAAACAACATATTCTATATCTGTTTGAATGTAAATATGAACCTTAACCATGGTTATTAATTGGTGCAATGGTGACATAATGACATGAAACCTGCAGTTTCCAGCCCTTTTACCTACAAAATTGGGATTTGTTCCGTTTTATTCATTTATTACTCAAAACTGTCATCAGTGTTGCAAGATCTCACTTCTTGTTTGCACCATTTGTGATCCAGGGCAGGCTGAGATGGCACTGCAAGTGTAACTTCCAATTATTAACAACCATTGCTGGAGCTGACACAACTTTCTGTTCTTGGCCTTTTACCTGAAAGGGAAAATGCAAGGAGGAAAATACACCCAGAAGTGATATCCAGCTGCTGCAGGAGTAAAGGCTCATTTCTTTGGATAATATCCTTTTTTACCAATGTTTTTTTAGGGTGAAGTCAACAGAACTTGATGTCTGTCAAAACGAACTGAAAAAGATCAAATATGAGAATGGCATTGCTGAGTCCAGGTAAATGCTGAAATGATATTTCATCTTTTTGAGCAATGACAGCAAACATTTTATTATTTTAATGCAGTTTTTATGCAATACATTAAAAGAATTTTCTGTCAAGTCAGTATATTTAACTTCATAAAAAACACATGGGGTTTTGACCAATATTTTTTTCTAGGCATTATTATTTCTGTCTATAAATAAGAATATAGTAACTACAATGCTGTTGTTTCTTTATTTCATCTGTAGACTTACAAAAGAGCTGAAGGAAAAGGAGGAATCCCTTCTTGTTTGCCAACAAGTCTGCAAACATTTACAGGAGGAGGTGGCTGAGAAAGAAAGGAGAGAAGAAGATCTGAAAAGAAGAACTGGGAGATCAGAGAGTGAGCTGGAAACCCTTAAAGCTCTGCTGGGCCAAACAGAGCAGGAGGTGCTGATGCTGAAGCAGGAGAGGTAAAGGGAGCTGAGCTGGACTCAGGTGCTCCTGGAAATTCTGGAGATTTTGGGAGTCATTGGATTGGGTTTTTAAATTATAATGGGATAAACAAAACTTGGATGAAGGGAAGAAAAAGTACTATTAAAAATAGGAGTAGAGAAGTTTCCTTGGACTGCAGGGCTTCAGCTGGAGTTTAGTCTGAGCCCCAAAGCCCCATTTCTGCAGCTGTTCAGCTGCTCTGTGTGCCCAAGGTGCAGGGAATATTCAAACCCTGGAATGCAGAACAGTTGGTGCCTCCTGGCACTTCTGAGTGCTGAAATCACTGTGGCTCTCAGGAGTAAAACTGGAGATGGAGATTCCGTGGCAGGTAATTAAAAATATATGGATTCAGCTTGGGGAGTCCAAAGCACAGGCACTCAAACTCAATCCCATTCCAGGGAAAGCAGCCCTCAGAAGCCCAGTGCTTTATTTTGCACATCTCAAAAGCAATCCCAGGGACAATGGCAGCTTTGTTCACAGCTGAGACCCTTCAGAGCCAGGCTGAACTGCTGGGAAGCTGCTCTCACACCTCCCCAAGCACCAGGTCCTGTCCAGGACCCTGGCTGAGGGAATACTGGGGCATTTTTGAGGTGGACAAGTTGTTAACAACATCAATGACAGGAATTGAACCTCTCCAGGAGTCTTGCCCTACAAGCCCCCCATAACAAAGAGTTCCTTGAACGACAGAAAGTACTCAGTGGTTTTCATTCCAAACCCATTACAAATTTTTAATTAATGATCCTAATATTCCAAGTTCATGAAATACAAGTTCTGGGTAGAATATTTGAAGTTTTTCTGTGTTCTTTGAAATTTGTCTTGAAAATATCAAAGAAAGATTAAAATGCCATTTGAAGTGGAAGATCAAGCACCGCATTTTCTTCAAAACATGAAATTCAGGAGCCAAGTGAGGGTGTGGTGGAGATTCCAAGGGGGGATTCCTGGGGCAAGGACGAGCAGGATTCATTGCAAGGCCAGGGGATTCCAGCAGAGTGGGCAGAGTAAATGTAAATTCCATTTACGTGGAATTTGTGTTTTTAGGGAGCTGCTGAAGAGCAGGACGGAGCAGCTGCAGGAGACGCTGAGGCAGAAGGTGCAGAGTGAGGACTCCTGGAGGGACAAGGTGACCCTGGGGGCTCTGCTTTGGGGGGCTCAGTTCCACCAAGGGCACAGGGAAGCAGGGAATGACCTCCAGTGCCACGTGTGGTGGAGTCATGGAATCATACACAGCCCGGTTTGGAAGCGACTCCGCCAAAAGTTCTGTCAGGAGCACACAAATCTTGTTTGCCTTTGGCCTCTGAGTCTGCTGGGGCCTCAGAGCCCTGAATTCACAGGGAAGGCTTTGTGTGGAGCCTCCTGTTTCCAAAAGCACACTTCATGTTTGCTGAAGCTCATGGAATCACAGGATCCCAACCTGGTTTGGGACCTTAAAGCCCCTCCAATGTCACCCCAGCCATGGCAGGGACACCTTCCATGTCCCAGGGGCTCCAAAGCCTGCCCAGCCTGGCCTTGGGCACTGCCAGGGATCCAGGGGCAGCCACAGCTTGTCCATGATAGCCTTTGTCCAAAGGATATCCTCATGATACCCTCCTGCCTCTTCCAGTGGGATTTGGGAAGCTGCTTCCCATGAACCACTGTCACCATGTCAACCTTGTTTTCATCTGCAGCTTTTATCATGAGCACCAAAAAACCCTGAACTGAATAAGAAATAAAAATATATTCATCTATTAAGAAGAATAATAAATAAAATATATTTATGTATTAAAAAGGATTTTAAAATATTAAAAAGAATAAGAAATTAATATAAGTGTATACATCAGTGAAGGAAAATTTAAAAGCAAAGTTGAACAATAATTGTGACTTGTCTGATTTAAGCCTCACATAATTGGTGACTGAAATTACTGTACTTTTTGTTTCAGTGTCTGAAAGCTTTATTTAGCCCCAGGAAAACTTGGGGACTGGTAGCAATTAGGATCAGTTACATTTCTTTGGAAACCCCTTCACTTTCCTGTCACAGGATATAATTTGGGGAAGGGATCAGGCTGGCTCCACAATCAGAGTGTTTTCAACCTGACATGAGAACAAAATAAAGATTGGTGGGAGGGAGAGGAAGCAATTTCAGCTTTGGTGTCACAGCCATTAAAATGCATCCACAGCAAGGCCCCAAAACTTGGCTCAGCAGCCAAAAAAATCAGCAAAGTGACAACATTGCCTTTGGTTTGTGCACTGCAGAGCACCAGAGGGCCAAGGTTTCTGTTTAAAATACATTTAAACCTGAAATTGTTTTAGTGGAACAAAAAAAAATTAAATTACTTAAATTTCTTAAATTACTTTCAGGAAGCAATTTAAGAAATAAGTCCCTTGGAGCACACCATTTATGGAACCCCAGGGTTACTGAGGCTGGAAAAGTCCCCCAAGGTCATCAAGTCCCACCTCTGAGTGGCCAAACGTGCCACCAGAGCCCCAGTGCCACGTCCTGGCACTGCCTGGCACCTCCAGCTGTGGTCCTGTCCTTCCCTGAGCCTCCCTTTTCCAGAGAAATCCCTCCTGAAGAGATGGGTGCACACATTTTTTCACAATTTTAATTAACGAGGGGCGTGTGAGTCAATTAGTGCCCAGTGCTCTCTTGGAACATCAGCCTCCACCCCATTTCCTGTTCTGCATCTCAGCTTCATTAATTTCAACTATTAAATGGGAAATGTTTTGTGTGAATGGGCTCAGGTTTTTGTATTGCCTTTAATTGTTTAGTCTGTGGAGTCAAGGAGCCTCCAACAAGTGATCAGGACCTGTAATGACAGGCAGAGTTAATAAATTTGGGGATTTAGGTTCAGAGTCCCAACTCCCATCTAAGAACATAAAAATATTAATATTGATATGAATATTAATAATAAATACACATCACTATAGGAAATAGAATTATAATACAAACACAATTAACACTATATTATATTTTATACATATTAATATTATATTATATATAATAATTATTATACATAATAAATATTAGCTATCATATATTAATTATTACTATTCTTAATATATATAATAATTACTATTAATGATATAATAATTATATTTGTACTAATTAATATAGTGTTATAATAATGTAATTATTGAATATATATTAATATAATATAATTATCCATGTAAAATAATTATAGATATTATTATCTATTATAATATTATTATCATATTATATATTATACAATATAATCTATTAATATAATATTATTATAAGATCATAATATATTATATATTATAATTAATAGGTATTATTAGTGTTGTTATTATTATTATGATGATTAGAGTCTACTTGAAGCATCCTACAAATACAACAGTTTTTAACTATAATTTGCACCTCTTCCACCCCCAGAATTGGGTGTATTTTGCTTTAAAAAATAATGACAATATTTCCAGTTTCTCTTTTTCCCCTAAAGACATTGGGGAGATTTATTATATTTCTGCTCATAATAATGTGTGGAATTAGATAATTGTAATTAAGCTCATTGTGGGCTTTTGTGCTTTTAATCATGGAAATAATGAGGTTTGTGTTGTGCATTTAATGTGCCTGTTGTGCTCTCAGCCTGCTGCAATTAAACCCAACAGAATCAGCTGCACGAAGGAATAGGAGCAGCCTGGGTTAGGAAAAGTGTTCTCCTAAGTGCAGCCTTCAGGGTGTCCTCCAGAATCCTGAATTTTCTATTGGGGAAATGATGAATTTATAATGGGAATTGTTGGAGCTGCTGTAAGCACTGGGAAACTTCACCCAATATTCCAACTGGAGAAGGGTCTGGGCTGAGCTCCTTGTGACCTTCCAGGGACTGGGGACAAGGATGGAGGGACAGGACACAGGGAATGGCTCCCACTGCCAGAGGGCAGGCATGGATGGGAGATTGGGAATTGGGAATTCCTGCCTGGGCTGGAATTGCCAGAGCAGCTGTGGCTGCCCCTGGATCCCTGGCAGTGCCCAAGGCCAGGCTGGATGAGCTTGGAGCACCTGGGACAATGGGAGGTGTCCCTGCCACGGCAGAGTGGCACTGGGTGGGATTTAATGTCCATCCCATCCCATGCCATCCCATCCCATCCCATCCCATCCCATCCCAGTGTGACAATGCCACTGACCCCTCTTGTCCCCCAGCTGGAGATGGACCTGGCCAAAGGGGAGGCTCGGCACAAAGAAGCAATTCTCAAAGTCAGGGAAGAGGCCAGAGTGGAGCTGGAGCTGGAGAGACAAAAGCAGCAGGAAGTGATCACAAAGTACCAGAGAGAGCACGAGGAGCTCCAGCAGAAGGTGTGCAATGCTCAAGAGAAAACTTTTGTGGCAGAAGATCACAGAAAACTGTAAAAAATGGGGATGTGAAGGAATGAAACCTTCTCTGCGTGTCATCCTCTCTCTGGATGATACAGTACTTTTTCACACTCTCAGTATATTTAATTTTTCTTAATAGAACAAGCTGAAAATAACTATTCCAGTTCAAGTTAATTGGTATGGAAGTTCTTTCTCACCACCAAAACTCCATCTATGTCCCCAGAGTTGCTAATTATATTTAATCTGACATCATCACTTTTTAAAAGCTTGGGGCTGTTTCAGGCTATGATGAGGTGCCACAATCCCACTCATATTTTTCCCCTTCCCAAGGGAAGCCAGCAGCTCCAGGGCCAGTAAAACCTGCTGGGCTGGAGTGGTGCTGGCACCACAGGGGGCTGGGAGCTCCAGATCCCCCTCAAGTTTTATGTAGAAATTGAGAAGTTGTACCTGTAACCTGAGTTTCCAAAAGGTTTGGTACAATTCCTGAGAAAATCTGAGAGATCTGGAAAAATGAAAGGTATGTGATGAGGTTTTATTATTATTTAAAATCTGGGACACTGTGATTTAGAGCTGAAAATAAGTTTGGCTTTGTTCACTTGGCAAATATTTAACCATGGTTTTTAAACCCTGAGGAAACACCGCCTTGCAGTAAATTTAACTTGAAGTTAAATTTTCCCTTTTTTTACCTCAATGTCTCTATTTGATCTTGAACACACTAATTAATCTCTGTGTTCTCAGTGAGTGGTGATTAATTTACAGCTCTCTGGTGTCCTCTGAGGGAATTATGTAAATTCAGAGCTTTTTTTTCTCTCTGAGGACCTGCAAGTTTGAATTTGTTGGTTTTTTTCCTCAAGTCTCCATTTGTCTGCTATTAATTCTCCATATTTAGAGGTACTGAGTGGAGATTAATTCCTGTCTGATCTCACCCAGATCCCAGGTTTAATATCCAGTGCCACCAAGAGCTTGAGGATGGAGATGGAAATTCTGGAGAAGAAGCTCCAAGATGCCCAAATGAAAGTGGCAGAGAAGGATGGAGACAAGGAAAAAGAAATCCAGAGCCTTAAAAGGCTCATCAGTGAGCTTGAGTTCCAGCTGACCATGGAAAAGAGCAACAATGAATCATTCCTGGATAAAATGAGGAAAGAAATTAAGCACAAGTCAGATGAACTGGAAAAATTAACCCAGGAGAAGACACAGCTGATTCACAGCTTGAGTCAAGTTCAAGAGGAGGTAGGAACGGGACCCAGGAAATGCCTGGTTATTTTTACTTGGAGACATGTGATTTCTAAAATCATTCAAAGGTCTGTGACCAGAAAATCCACTGAAATGCAAAGATTTCTCAGACAAATCCATCATCATTTCCTAAATACGGTACATCACAAAAGAAGTTTTAATTCAGCAAATGCTTAAATTAGCGCTTCATAGAAAAATATATTATTAAAAATTATTTTTCAGTTCCTGCAAGACCTTTCTTAGTCTGTAGCCTCATGTCCCACTGCCCAAACATGAGTAAACAATGAAGAATTCCCAGTTTTTAGAGTAGAAGACACGGATATTTCTCATTCCTTGAACTGGTGCCCCAGCTCCCACCAGTGCAGCCACGTTCCCTAACTCAGGAATGCATAAAAATGAATTAAATGCAAAAAGAAATTCAACTGATGGATATTCTGACCACAAACATTTGCTGAATGCTTGGAATATAATGGGAAGGGAGGAGAGAGCTGCTCCATGGGAAATGTGGAGTCAGGGACTGCAGATAAGATTAGGCTGGAATGTCCAAAGCAATTCAGTGGCAGGAAAAAGAATTGGTCAACAGCAAAAATAAAACTCTTCCAAGTGAATTGGTGCTGGGGTTGGTACTGATTTATTCCTTGGAAAGGTTGGGAAAGGTGTGAGTGGAATTCCAGTGAGGCTGTGCCTGATCTGTGCCCAAGGATGGGGACGTGGGATAGAGGGGCCTTGGCAGTGCTGGGGCAGCAGGGGGGCTGCATGGCCTTCCCATGAGTGATTCCATGACTCCATGTGTCCAGTCCTGGTTCCACACCTGGTTCCACACATGGTTCCACACTTGGTTCCATACCTGGTTCCACGCCTGGTTCCATTCCTGATTCCATTCCTAGTTCCACACCTGGTTCCATACCTGGTTCCATGGCTCCATGCAGGCTGTGCTCTCCCACTGCAGAGGGTTCCAGGGAAATGCAGCATTAACCCCTTGGTGTCACTGCACCTCTGTCCATTACTGCCTTCCCTTCCCAAGAGCAGCATTCCCACTTCTCCCAGCTGGGCAGGAGAGCAGGAGCACCTTCTGAGCACTTCCCTGGGATGTCCTGCTGGCTCCCTAGGGAACAGCAGGACAGTGCAGGGCGGGTCCCTGTCCCAGGAGAGTCCAGGTGTGATGGCTGGGGCATTCCTGGTGTTTCTGTGCAGAATTCCCTGCTGCAGGGACAGTGTCCAGGGGTGATGCCTGGCGCATTCCCGGTGTCTCTCGTTGCCGAACTCCCTGCTGCAGGGACAGTGTCCAGGGGTGATGCCTGGCGCATTCCCGGTGTCTCTCGTTGCCGAACTCCCTGCTGCAGGGACAGTGTCCAGGGGTGATGCCTGGCGCATTCCCGGTGTCTCTCGTTGCAGAATTCCCTGCTGCAGGGGCAGTGTCCAGCTGTGATGCCTGGCGCATTCCCGGTGTTTCTGTGCAGAATTCCCTGCTGCAGGGACAGTGTCCAGGTGTGATGCCTGGCGCATTCCCGGTGTCTCTCGTTGCAGAATCCTGCTGCAGGGACAGTGTCCAGGTGTGATGCCTGGCGCATTCCCGGTGTTTCTGTGCAGAATTCCCTGCTGCAGAGAGTGCCCCCAGAGAGCCCAGGTGTGATGCCTGGTGCATTCCCGGTGTTTCTGTGCAGAATTCCCTGCTGCAGAGAGTGCCCCCAGAGAGCCCAGGTGTGATGCCTGGTGCATTCCCGGTGTTTCTGTGCAGAATTCCCTGCTGCAGGGACAGTGCCCCCAGAGAGCCCAGCTGTGATGGCTGGCACATTCCCGGTGTTTCTCGTTGCAGAATTCCCTGCTGCAGGGGCAGTGTCCAGGTGTGATGGCTGGCACATTCCCGGTGTCTCTCGTTGCAGAATTCCCTGCTGCAGGACACGGTGCGCCGGGAGTGCGAGGAGCGCTTCGAGCTGACGGCGGCGCTGGGCCGGGCCCGGGAGCAGGTGCTGGAGCTGCGGAGGCTCAGCGGGAGCCTCCCCGCCGGGGAGCTGCGCCTCTCCGCAGCGCTGGGCACGGCCAGGGCCGCCCGGGCCCCCGGCTCGGGCCGGCACGGCGGCAGCACCGCCGGATCCCTGGATGCTCCCAAGGGAAGGGCGGCCCCGCCGGGCGAACCCCGCGGCCGGGTCCCCGCCGGGATGAGGCACCGGCCGAGCCAGCTCTGACAGCTCCGCCTGGGAAACCATTCCAGCCGCCAAAGGAGCACCTCCCGAACTCATCCATTCCTACAGTTTAAAATCCAGTTAAATTTTTTGTTTATTTTTGAGGTAATATCTTTTATCTGTCCAATAATTTATTCATGGTGTAATTAAATGCTGGGCACATTTCAAGATGGGAAAAGTGAAAAGAGTCTCTCCAAGAGGAGCACAAAGAGCAGCACATCTTCAATGAGTGGGGTTGAAATCAGAAAACGCCTGGATCCCAGAAGGTTTGGGTTGGAAGTGGCCTTAAAGTTCATCCCATTCCAACGTCCTGGCCCTGGGCAGGGAATAATGGCCCAGCATCACAGGATCCAGGATGGATGGGGCTGGGAACAGCCTGGGACAGGAGCTGGATGAGCTTTGAGGTCCCTTCCAACTCAAATCAGTCTGTGATTGCATGATTCCATCATCTCAAACCTGGGCTCTTATCCCCCTGTTTGTGTCCTGGAGCAGCAGCTGCAGTGAAGGAGGAGTGTGGCCAGGGAGGAACAGCACGTAAAATAACGGGAGCAGGAACGGGATCATGGCTCTGGCACGAGGGAGTGGCCAGGTCCTGGAGGCAAACCAAGTCCAGAACAAATATTTCCCTTCTCCCCCTCCCTCCCAGAACCCGGAGCTCCTGCTGCTAAGCAATAAACAAAATATGGAAATGTCAGGGACCCTTTTTAACTGGCTTTGAAAACAATTTAATGAATCTCACCATGTCAAGGAAAGTTTACCAAGTGTTTTCCATGGTGGGATGACAGGCAGAGCACAAAGTGCCACAGAGGATGTGGACACCTCATTACAGCCCTGAAATTTTAGGAAATCAAACTTCCTGCAGGAAGTTCTTGTAGGAGTGGTGTCAGGGACCTTGCACTCCAGGACTCGTGGCACGAGGCAAAGCCAAATAAAGCTCCAGGAACAAACCTGTCCCTGTGGATCCTGCCCTGCTGGCCGTGGGCAGCATTCCAGCCCTTCCCTTGGAGAAAACATCCCATGGCACGAGGCTGTCCTGTCCTTCCCTGCTGGAAAGGCTTCAGACTGCCCCTGGCAGAGCTGGGGGTGGTGCCTGCTCTGGAGGGAGCTCCTGCAGCCCTGAACCTTTCCAGGCAGGATCAATCCCCTGTGCCAGGCAGGGAAATGGGGCTCGGTGGGCTGGGGCTGATGCTCTGTGTGAGCCCCAGACACATTCCTGGTGTGGCCAAAGCCTCCTGGCTGTCCCTGCTCCCAGGGGACAAAGGGACAGCACAAGAGGAGCCCTGGAATCTCAGTCAGTGCCTCAGTGTGGCTCATCCTTTTCCCACCTGAAGTTGCCCAAAATGCAATGTTCTCCACAGATGATGTGATGGAGAGTCCAGCCCCTGTCTGGTCCTGCTTCTCCTCCAGCAGAATTTGGGATCAGCACGGGCCATGCACAGCTTGCCATGGATATCACTTCATTCCCACTGGGATATCACAAACCAAAGCTGGGATGATCACTAGACCTTGCTCTGAGGTGTGTGTAGGATCTGGGATCCCGACTGTGCCTTGCAGATGGAGTTTTTCTACAAAAGAAGAAATTGGACTGCAGGAAAAAGCAACTTAGTTCCTAAGCAGTGTTAAAAGTGCATGGAAATAGAAACTGATGCCACAGATCATTAAAATGTATTAATCAGAATAAAAGCATGACTGTCTTTCTTTGTACTGTGCATTTTCAATACCAAATAAGAGTAGGATAATGAAACTGGGGAAAGTTCCCTTCGCAGACAACTTCCCCCCCCCAGCTGCATTTTTAGTTATTTAAAACAGGCCCTTATTTCCATCATGAAAATTCCATGTTGGATTTTGTCCTTGGTGGTTACAGGTGGTTGAGAGTGCCCTGCTGAAGGAAGAACAAACCCCAAACAGCTGTGATGGTGTGAAACAATAATCTGGGGTTTTCATCCTCACAGCACACACAGAATTCATTGGGGTGGGATGATAAAAAGGGCACTGCCTGAGATTAATGCTGGGGGATTTTCACACCAGGAATGTCATTTGTGTGGAGCATCTGGTGTTGCCTTGAGAGCTGCTCCCAGGTCATGGCCAGCTCCCATGGATTGTTCTCCTTGGCCCTCCAGGCTCTGGATCAGCCGTGCCCAGAACGATCCCACCTTGCTCCTCCCGGGGTGGGGACAGGGCTCGGTGCCAGGGGAGCCAAGGCAGGGACACAGGTGCCACCAGGCCTCTCAGGGGGATGGAGACCCTTCCACTGAGGGGGTGGGCCCAGGGTGTGTCTGAGGCCACATTTCCAGTCCCCACCCTCCCTCTGTTCCCTGCAGTGGGATGTGGCTGAGACCAGCAGGAGTCAGGCACTGGAGTCAGGCATGGAATGAACACAGGGTGGGAAACGTCAGGGAAAGGGGGAATAACCCAGGGGGTCCAGATGGGAGGAAAGAGCTGACATCTGGAAAGGAAAATCTCAGTGTGAGAGAGAGGAAAATGCCCTCCCCTGGAGCTGTGCAGCCAGAGAGGATCCCTGCAGTGGTGGAGCCCCTGTGCTTGAGTCATTCCAAGCGGGTGGGAAATATCCATGGAAAATGTCCTGGCAGGAGCAGCCCTGCACTGCAGGAGCAGCTGAACCCAGTGTCCCAAAGGGGATTTTCCATCTCCTGATTTATGGGATGTGGAAAGTGGTTAGGTTTGGCCTGGCACCACTCCAGGGGGCAGTGCCCAGCTGGCACTACCTGCCTGGGGCTCTGGGGAAAGAGTCCTGGAAGAAATCTGGTGGGCACAGAGGAAAGGAGCCTGGAGAGCCATGGAATGCAGCAGGTTCTTCTTCTTGCCGGAGGGTCACACTCTGTCCTGCCCAGATGTCCTTCACCATCACCACCACCATTGTCACAGACTGTGTTGAGTTGGAAGGACCTTAAATCCCACCCAGTGCCACCCCTGCCATGGCAGGGACACCTCCCACTGCCCCAGGTGCTCCAGCCCCAGTGTCCAGCCTGGCCTTGGGCACTGCCAGGGATCCAGGGGCAGCCACAGCTGCTCTGGGCACCCTGTGCCAGGGCCTGCCCACCCTCCCAGGGAACAATTCCTAATTCCCAATATCCCATCCAACCCTTCCCTCTGGCAGCGGAAGCCATTCCCCTTATCCTGTCCCTCCAGCCCCTGTAACACAGGCACTGCCCCCTCCTGACATCCCTTTCCCCAGTCCAGGGCAGCTGAGCAGCATTTCACTGGCAGCAGAAATCGGGCACGTAGCATCCCCTCAGCTACCCCCAGGCTGCATGTTGGGAGTTCCCTCTGCTCTGCTCCACGGCCGGTGCTGGGGGCACTGGGAATTCGGGAATGACAGGCGGGGCTGGCTCGGGAATCGTGTCTGTCAGGAGAAGTAGCTCCTCAGGAGCCCGAGGCCGGCCCCGCTCACTGAACGTTTCCATGAATCATTGGCTTTTATGGAAATCCGTTCCAGCATCCTCTCCCCAGCTGTTTCCTGTGCACTGTGCTGGCCGCAGGGCTTGTTTTAACTTTCCGGGACTGAGCGGTCATTTGAATCACCACAAAGTTCTGAACAAAGAACCACGCGTGCCTTTGGGGAAAAGCGCCCAAAAAAGGATCCTCGGGAGCAGCTGGGAGGAGCCCGGGCAGGGCCAGGCTCGGGGGTGTAACCGAGCAGCAGCACGGCCCCCCCGGCTGCCAGCCCCATCCTGTCTGTCTGGCCTGGGGGGTGTCTTTGCAGGCTCCTTCTGAAAATAACCCCTGAGCCTCTTGGAGGGTGATGGAAGCAGCAGCTGGAGCTGGATGAGGCAGAAATTCACCTGCTCAAGCTGGACACAGGGAGAACTTGGATTTCTGATCTCTGGATGAAAGGCTGGTTCTGGAAACCAGGATTTTCTGTGGATTTTCTGGATTTTTCAGGATTTTCTGTATTCATAGAAATATACAGAAATCCTTTCCTCTGGCTGGCTCTGGGTAAGGATGTTCCAAACCTGCTAAAGATCCATCTGACAGGGAAACAGTCCCTTGTCCACATCAGGAGAGGATCTGTGTGTGCCTGACCCTGGAGCAACAGAGACCTGGGGGAGCCACAGCTGGGCAGGGCCGTGCAGGGGGACTCTGCAACCAGGGCTCAGATTCCCTGCCCTGGATCTGTGGGACATCCTTTCCCTGGATCTGTGGAACGCCCCCTCTCCTGGATCTCTGGAACATTCTCTCCTGGATCTGTGGGACATCCCCTCCCCTGGATCACAGCACAACTCAGGGTTCAGATCATGAGCATTTAATCCAAAGCCATGGCCTGAAATAAGAGGAGAGCAAAACACCTGGGCAGGCTCCTGGCACAGAGCAGCATGTGTGCAGGAGGTGCACAGATCCCAGAAGGCAAAAGTCTCCAGGGTTCCCTCTTAGCCTGACCCAGGGAAAATTATTCTGGGACCTTAAATCTCATGATCACCACAACCCTGAGAGCCGGAGCAGGACGCTCAGTGCCTGGGGCGTCCACAGAGCTGTGGCTGCCCCTGGATCCCTGGCAGTGCCCAAGGCCGGGCTGGACAGGGCTGGGAGCACCTGTGACAGTGGGAGGTGTCCCTGCCGTGGCAAGGTGGGGCTGGATGAGCCAGTCTCACCTGGGGTTAAAGGTGGCTGAGGACACGTCGCTGCTCCCTGGCCACGCCGAGGTCGCCGCTGGCTCTGCAGAGGGCAGGGGAAGGGTGGCGGTGCTGCCTTTGTGTCCCCAGCTCTGGCATCCCTGTGTCGGCTTCGCTGTCGCCGGGGAAGCCACGAGGAGCCCTGAAACAAAAAGCAGCCCTGGGGCCATCCAGTCCGTTCCTGACGGCAGCCAGAGCTCCCTGATCGGAGCCAGATGTCAGAGATAACATCTCCGCTTGTTCTTGCGGTTTCCTCGATGGCAAAGCACTACCGTGCTCTCACCCTGCCTGGCCGCGGCCTTCTGAGCATCCTGGTGGGGAAAAATACGGAATTCTGGAGGGCTGGTTTGGGGCTGGGCTGGCCCAGCGTTCCCAGCCTGCCGGGAGATGCTGAGGGGGAGGACGGAGGGTGCTCTGTGCCCTTGGAGGAGGTGTTTTATTCCCTTGGAAGGGACAGGGTGACAGCTCCAGCCTCTCCCCTCCACTCTGTCCCGTTTCAGTCGCTGTCATCCCGCTGCATCCTCAGAGCAGGTGTCTCCTCAGCATGGAGGGCAAACTTTGAACCATCTCCACCTGGCAGAAAGATGCTGAAAGTGTTTCCTTTTTTAGAGGTACTGAAGCATAGAAAAAACTTCAGGGTTTGAATAAAATCTCAGCTTCTCACCCTCTAAATCACTTTAAAACAGGACCTCAGGCATTTGAATCTCAGCTCCTGATTGCTCCATGCAAACCTGGGCTCCCAAGTCACATGGAATTTTGGGAAGCGGCAGCAATTCCTGAACAGGGGTAATTAAATCTGTGAGGGCCTTTCAGGAGACTCACTTGCTTTAAGGTCATTTTGCTGTGGATTTCTGCCCTTGGCTCCTGGGCACAGGCCCGGGCCTGCCCAGCACCCGCCGGGCCTCAGAGGGATCGCCCTGGCCTGGAACATTCCAGGGATGGGGCAGCCACAGCTCCTCCGGGACACCTGGAGCAGCCCAGGCCATGGTGAGGGACCCCCATTCCCTCCCCTTTGGGTCACTCAGGGCTGTCCCCGGAGCTGTCCCAGTCCCTGCTCCCTCCCGGGGAATCTCCCACAGCTGGTGGCTGGTGCCACCCCTGGAGGCTTTGATCCATCCCCGGCTCCCAGCAGATGGAATTGGGGTGTCCAGCCGAGGCCGTGCCCCGGGGACGGGGCTGCTCTGTCCCCCGGCCCAGGGCAGGACATTTGTCCCCTGCTCAACCCTCGGTGTGGGCAGCCCCGGCAGAGCCGGGAGCCTCCGCTGGGCTCGGCAACACTTCCACCTACAGAGGGATCCCAGAACGGCAGCCGGGAGTGAGGGGAATACCGGGAGTGAGAGGGAATACTGGGAGTGAGGGGGAACACCGGGAGTGAGGGAGAATACCGGGAGTGAGGGGGGAACACCAGGAGTGAGGGGAACACCGGGAGTGAGGGAGAATACCGGGAGTGAGGGGGGAACACCAGGAGTGAGGGGAACACCGGGAGTGAGGGAGAATACCGGGAGTGAGGGGGGAACACCAGGAGTGAGGGGAACACCGGGAGTGAGGGGGGAACGCCGGGAGTGAGGGGAATACCGGGAGCGAGGGGGGAACACCGGGAGTGAGGGGGGAATACCGGGAGTGAGGGGGGACACCGGGAGTGAGGGGGACATGGAATCCATGGGAATAAGGGGGGGCACGGAACCCCTGGAAATGATGAGGGCACAGCACCCCTGAGAATGAAGGGGCTGCGGAGCTGGAATGTCTCTGCAGGGTGTGGGCACGACCCCTTTGCTCTCTCCAGCAAACCCATCCAGAAGGATTCTCCATCCTGGACAAAAATGGGCACTTTTGCTAAGTTTTTTCCTTCCACTTTTTCTTCAGGCCATCTTTACTAATTTTTTAAACTTTTTCTCTTTTAATTGTCCTGCTGGGCTGTGGCCAGGCAGGAGGAAGGGATGGAAAGCTGTTTCCTTTGCAGGAGTGCTTTTTCCAAAGAGGGATGTGATTGCCAGCCTGGCCAGGAGGGTTTGCTTCCTGCCCCAAGGAGCCTGGAAGCAGCAAGGATCACAGACAGGAGAGTCACAGACTCGGCCTGATGTGAAATCCTAGATTTTATGAGTATTTCTTGGCAGGTGCAGCAACCAGGGAAAGATTTCTTGGATGAGGGGCCCTTATCACCTCACCTGCTGCCACTCACCTGTGGGTTTGGGGGTGACTGAAGCCCTGAGAGGAACCTGTTGGGCAAATTTCCATCAAAAATATTCTCCTTTTTCATTTTTCCTCTTCCCAAACCATCCAAAGCTCCTGCTCCACGCTCATCCTTCCAGTATCTGTAACAAACCTGAAAGTGAAGGACAGGCAGAATGGTTTGTATGAAATGCCTTGAAATCTTTGCACCTTTTTGTTGAAAATTAGTCAAAAAATTTTAATAAAATCCTTTTTTCAGGGAAAAAGAAACTCTGAGGGTGAGACCCTGTGCCCAAGGAGAACCAGGTGGGATATTTCCCTGTCCCTGTGAGTCTCAGATGTTCAGAGCCCAGTGGCAGCTCCTGATTTCCAGCAGCGTGGCAGAGGCTGCAGCACCACCCAGGGCAGGAATCCTCCAGATTTCCCAGGAAAATTGTCTCAGCTACTGAGATAGGAGCAGAATGCAGCCTCAGGGGACTCCTGGAGGTCAGCACAGGCGCTTGAAGTCAAATGACTCATTTCTCTGACTCAGCTCCATGAAAACTTCAAAATTCAGGGATCCTTCAAAGTCTTAGGAGAGACAGGAGCTGTGGTGCAGGGACATGTCACCTGCAGTGCCCTGCAGCTCCTCCTGCCAATCCTGCAGGGAATGGGGCCCCTCAGGACTCTCAGCTGCCCTTGTGGAAAATCATGGGGCACTGAGCAGAGCTGGGGCTGTGCTGGAAGTTTGAACTTTGGTTGTTTCTTCTGAATCCCCAAATAATCCTCACAGTTTTCTTCTGATGTTTATATATTTTTTTTTTTTTTCTGGAAAAGGAACACTTGATCCTGATGGAGTTTGGAATCAAAAATGCAATCTCCCCCCATCCCTCTCCATCAGGGCTCAGGGCCCTTTTCCAGGCCCCTCAGACCCTCATCTCTCCCTGAGAGTGTTTCTTAAAATCCCCAGGTCTCTCTCAGTGCTGGAGATGGGGCAGAGCAGCCCCTCAGTGCCTGGATCCAGGGGTGAAGCCACTGCTGACACATTTTGGGATGCACTCAGATGGAAATGGATTTTCTTGTTACACTTTGGAGCCAGTTAAAGTGGATCAGTAAAGGAAAAGTTGGAATCCCAGAGTCCTGGACTGGTTTGGGTTGGAAGTAGCATAAAGATCATTGAATTCCCACCCCTGCCATGGCACTGTCCCCTTCACTGTCCCAGGCTGCTCCAAGCCCCAATGTCCAGCCTGGCCTTGGGCACTGCCAGGGATCCAGGGGCAGCCACAGCTGCTCTGGGCACCCTGTGCCAGGGCCTGCCCACCCTCCCAGGGAACAATTCCTAATTCCCAATATCCCATCCAACCCTTCCCTCTGGCAGCGGAAGCCATTCCCCTTATCCTGTCCCTCCAGCCCCTGTAACACAGGCACTGCCCCCTCCTGACATCCCTTTCCCCAGTCCAGGGCAGCTGAGCAGCATTTCACTGGCAGCAGAAATCGGGCACGTAGCATCCCCTCAGCTACCCCCAGGCTGCATGTTGGGAGTTCCCTCTGCTCTGCTCCACGGCCGGTGCTGGGGGCACTGGGAATTCGGGAATGACAGGCGGGGCTGGCTCGGGAATCGTGTCTGTCAGGAGAAGGAGCTCCTCAGGAGCCCGAGGCTGGCCCCGCTCACTGAACGTTTCCATGAATCATTGGCTTTTATGGAAATCCGTTCCAGCATCCTCTCCCCAGCTGTTTCCTGTGCACTGTGCTGGCCGCAGGGCTTGTTTTAACTTTCCGGGACTGAGCGGTCATTTGAATCACCACAAAGTTCTGAACAAAGAACCACGCGTGCCTTTGGGGAAAAGCGCCCAAAAAAGGATCCTCGGGAGCAGCTGGGAGGAGCCCGGGCAGGGCCAGGCTCGGGGGTGTAACCGAGCAGCAGCACGGCCCCCCCGGCTGCCAGCCCCATCCTGTCTGTCTGGCCTGGGGGGTGTTTTTGCAGGTTCCTTCTGAAAATAACCCCTGAGCCTCTTGGAGGGTGATGGAAGCAGCAGCTGGAGCTGGATGAGGCACAAATTCACCTGCTCAAGCTGGACACAGGGAGAACTTGGATTTCTGATCTCTGGATGAAAGGCTGGTTCTGGAAACCAGGATTTTCTGTGGATTTTCTGGATTTTTCAGGATTTTCTGTATTCATAGAAATATACAGAAATCCTTTCCTCTGGCTGGCTCTGGGTAAGGATGTTCCAAACCTGCTAAAGATCCATCTGACAGGGAAACAGTCCCTTGTCCACATCAGGAGAGGATCTGTGTGTGCCTGACCCTGGAGCAACAGAGACCTGGGGGAGCCACAGCTGGGCAGGGCCGTGCAGGGAGACTCTGCAACCAGGGCTCAGATTCCCTGCCCTGGATCTGTGGAACGCCCCCTCTCCTGGATCTCTGGAACATTCTCTCCTGGATCTGTGGGACATCCCCTCCCCTGGATCACAGCACAACTCAGGGTTCAGATCATGAGCATTTAATCCAAAGCCATGGCCTGAAATAAGAGGAGAGCAAAACACCTGGGCAGGCTCCTGGCACAGAGCAGCATGTGTGCAGGAGGTGCACAGATCCCAGAAGGCAAAAGTCTCCAGGGTTCCCTCTTAGCCTGACCCAGGGAAAATTCTTCTGGGACCTTAAATCTCATGATCACCACAACCCTGAGAGCTGGAGCAGGACACTCAGTGCCTGGGGTGTCCACAGAGCTGTGGCTGCCCCTGGATCCCTGGCAGTGCCCAAGGCCGGGCTGGACAGGGCTGGGAGCACCTGTGACAGTGGGAGGTGTCCCTGCCGTGGCAAGGTGGGGCTGGATGAGCCAGTCTCACCTGGGGTTAAAGGTGGCTGAGGACACGTCGCTGCTCCCTGGCCACGCCGAGGTCGCCGCTGGCTCTGCAGAGGGCAGGGGAAGGGTGGCGGTGCTGCCTTTGTGTCCCCAGCTCTGGCATCCCTGTGTCGGCTTCGCTGTCGCCGGGGAAGCCACGAGGAGCCCTGAAACAAAAAGCAGCCCTGGGGCCATCCCGTCCGTTCCTGGCCAGAGCTCCCTGATCGGAGCCAGATGTCAGAGATAACATCTCCGCTTGTTCTTGCGGTTTCCTCGATGGCAAAGCACTACCGTGCTCTCACCCTGCCTGGCCGCGGCCTTCTGAGCATCCTGGTGGGGAAAAATACGGAATTCTGGAGGGCTGGTTTGGGGCTGGGCTGGCCCAGCGCTCCCAGCCTGCCGGGAGATGCTGAGGGGGAGGACGGAGGGTGCTCTGTGCCCTTGGAGGAGGTGTTTTATTCCCTTGGAAGGGACAGGGTGACAGCTCCAGCCTCTCCCCTCCACTCTGTCCCGTTTCAGTCGCTGTCATCCCGCTGCATCCTCAGAGCAGGTGTCTCCTCAGCATGGAGGGCAAACTTTGAACCATCTCCACCTGGCAGAAAGATGCTGAAAGTGTTTCCTTTTTTAGAGGTACTGAAGCATAGAAAAAACTTCAGGGTTTGAATAAAATCTCAGCTTCTCACCCTCTAAATCACTTTAAAACAGGACCTCAGGCATTTGAATCTCAGTCCTGATTGCTCCATGCAAACCTGGGCTCCCAAGTCACATGGAATTTTGGGAAGCGGCAGCAATTCCTGAACAGGGGTAATTAAATCTGTGAGGGCCTTTCAGGAGACTCACTTGCTTTAAGGTCATTTTGCTGTGGATTTCTGCCCTTGGCTCCTGGGCACAGGCCCGGGCCTGCCCAGCACCCGCCGGGCCTCAGAGGGATCGCCCTGGCCTGGAACATTCCAGGGATGGGGCAGCCACAGCTCCTCCGGGACACCTGGAGCAGCCCAGGCCATGGTGAGGGACCCCCATTCCCTCCCCTTTGGGTCACTCAGGGCTGTCCCCGGAGCTGTCCCAGTCCCTGCTCCCTCCCGGGGAATCTCCCACAGCTGGTGGCTGGTGCCACCCCTGGAGGCTTTGATCCATCCCCGGCTCCCAGCAGATGGAATTGGGGTGTCCAGCCGAGGCCGTGCCCCGGGGACGGGGCTGCTCTGTCCCCCGGCCCAGGGCAGGACATTTGTCCCCTGCTCAACCCTCGGTGTGGGCAGCCCCGGCAGAGCCGGGAGCCTCCGCTGGGCTCGGCAACACTTCCACCTACAGAGGGATCCCAGAACGGCAGCCGGGAGTGAGGGGAATACCGGGAGTGAGAGGGAATACTGGGAGTGAGGGGGAACACCGGGAGTGAGGGAGAATACCGGGAGTGAGGGGGGAACACCAGGAGTGAGGGGAACACCGGGAGTGAGGGAGAATACCGGGAGTGAGGGGGGAACACCAGGAGTGAGGGGAACACCGGGAGTGAGGGAGAATACCGGGAGTGAGGGGGGAACACCAGGAGTGAGGGGAACACCGGGAGTGAGGGGGGAACGCCGGGAGTGAGGGGGGAACGCCAGGAGTGAGGGGAACACCGGGAGTGAGGGAGAATACCGGGAGTGGGGGGGGAACACCAGGAGTGAGGGGAACACCGGGAGGGAGGGGGGAACGCCGGGAGTGAGGGGAATACCGGGAGTGAGGGGGGAACACCGGGAGTGAGGGGGGAATACCGGGAGTGAGGGGGGACACCGGGAGTGAGGGGGACATGGAATCCATGGGAATAAGGGGGGGCACGGAACCCCTGGAAATGATGAGGGCACAGCACCCCTGAGAATGAAGGGGCTGCGGAGCTGGAATGTCTCTGCAGGGTGTGGGCACGACCCCTTTGTTCTCTCCAGCAAACCCATCCAGAAGGATTCTCCATCCTGGACAAAAATGGGCACTTTTGCTAAGTTTTTTCCTTCCACTTTTTCTTCAGGCCATCTTTACTAATTTTTTAAACTTTTTCTCTTTTAATTGTCCTGCTGGGCTGTGGCCAGGCAGGAGGAAGGGATGGAAAGCTGTTTCCTTTGCAGGAGTGCTTTTTCCAAAGAGGGATGTGATTGCCAGCCTGGCCAGGAGGGTTTGCTTCCTGCCCCAAGGAGCCTGGAAGCAGCAAGGATCACAGACAGGAGAGTCACAGACTCGGCCTGATGTGAAATCCTAGATTTTATGAGTATTTCTTGGCAGGTGCAGCAACCAGGGAAAGATTTCTTGGATGAGGGGCCCTTATCACCTCACCTGCTGCCACTCACCTGTGGGTTTGGGGGTGACTGAAGCCCTGAGAGGAACCTGTTGGGCAAATTTCCATCAAAAATATTCTCCTTTTTCATTTTTCCTCTTCCCAAACCATCCAAAGCTCCTGGACCATGCTCATCCTTCCAGTATCTGTAACAAACCTGAAAGTGAAGGACAGGCAGAATGGTTTGTATGAAATGCCTTGAAATCTTTGCACCTTTTTGTTGAAAATTAGTCAAAAAATTTTAATAAAATCCTTTTTTCAGGGAAAAAGAAACTCTGAGGGTGAGACCCTGTGCCCAAGGAGAACCAGGTGGGATATTTCCCTGTCCCTGTGAGTCTCAGATGTTCAGAGCCCAGTGGCAGCTCCTGATTTCCAGCAGCGTGGCAGAGGCTGCAGCACCACCCAGGGCAGGAATCCTCCAGATTTCCCAGGAAAATTGTCTCAGCTACTGAGATAGGAGCAGAATGCAGCCTCAGGGGACTCCTGGAGGTCAGCACAGGCGCTTGAAGTCAAATGACTCATTTCTCTGACTCAGCTCCATGAAAACTTCGAAATTCAGGGATCCTTCAATCTTAGGAGAGACAGGAGCTGTGGTGCAGGGACATGTCACCTGCAGTGCCCTGCAGCTCCTCCTGCCAATCCTGCAGGGAATGGGGCCCCTCAGGACTCTCAGCTGCCCTTGTGTCCCTGCTGAACGCAGAGACCCCCAGGGCCAGGCTGTGCCTCCCACCTGGCATCTGCTGCTGCTGTCCCAGAGCTGGCACAGCCTGGCTGGGGAGGAGTTCTGCCCGTGAAGAACAAACACTGAGCACTGCTGTCCTGCTGCCCCACAGCTCAGCTGCTCAGGGAAGGGATGCTCTGAAGCACACAGGGGTGTGCACAGGTCAGTGCTCACACAAACCAGGGCTGAGCCCTCCACAGGTCACTCCAACACAAACCCAAGACAGGCAGAGGTGCTCCTCCTCCAAACCCAGGGTTTCTCTCTGCTCTGGACTAGCTGGGGGAAAAAGCTCCTTCAATTTCCATAGCAACAACCACATTTTCCTGAGCACGACACACACAAACACAGTTGTTAGACCGAAAAACAGCGGTAACCAAGAAACAGAGACATTTTATCTTCTCCTCCCCAAAAATACTCACTTTCCACCTTTCCAGAGCAGCTGCAGAGGGGGCCCAGCAGGACAGGGCAGGGAGGCACCAACACGGAGCTCCTGCTCAGGTGTCCTCTCCTTTCTGAGGGCTGTGGACCAGCCTCAGCCCCTGGGCTCTGCAGGGGAACACTCCAGCCTCAGCCACAGCCAGAACAGGGAGAGGCACTTTGGGGGAGCCCAGGAGAGCAGGACAGCAAACACCTGCGGGCTCCAGGGCTTGGTACTACCTGAGCAGCTGCAGAATCAGACCCGACTCCTCCTCTCCCCTTGCAGCTCTCCTTTCCCACAGCAGGCACAGCTCCAGGAATGTCCCAGCAGCTCCTGCTCTGACAGGGCACAGCAGCAGCCCAGCCCGGCCTCACCCCATGAACTTCAGAGAAGTCCATGACCATTTATTCCAAGTGCCACACCCCCAGGAGGACACAAACATCCAAAGCTCTCCCAGTTTTCTCCTCCCAAGAGCTGCACACCCACACCCCCGAGTCCCACGCAGGCACAGGGGTCAAAGCCACGGTGTGTAAGAAAACCAAGTTTAGTTTCCACATATTTGGCATCCAACAGGCAGTAAAAAAAAAAAAAAAAAACTGGCCCAGCCCCGCAGTCCCAGGGCTCAGCGGCAGTCCTTGAGCTGGCCCAGCCCCGCGGTCCCAGGGCTCGGTGCTGGAGCTGGCCCAGCCCCGCAGTGCGGTGTCTCAGCGGCGGTGCCGGCCGTGGCCCGAGCGGCCGCTGCCGTGGTGCTTGCCGCCCTTGTGGGAGCGCTCGAAGGAGCGCGAGCGCTCGCGCCGTTCCCGGTGGTGGCCGCGCTCGTGCCGGTGCTTCTTGGCCGCCTCCGAGTGCTCCCGGGACTTGCTCTGCGAGCGGGAGCGGGACTTTTTCCGCTTGTGGCCGTGTCTGCTGCTGCCCTTGAGCTCCTCGCGGCCGTGCTTGGCCTTGGCGTGGGGCGAGCCGTGGTTGTGGTGCCGCCGGGGGCTCCCGCTGTGGCTGCGCGAGCGGCTGCGCGAGCGGGAGCTGTAGGTGCCCGACAGGCTCCGCCGGTTGTTGTAGCTGCAGAGAGGCAACAGTTACAGCGTGTCCCCACACCGGGAAAAGCAAACAGACGTCAGCACTTAGAGCTCCCAAGGTACTGCAAGAAATCAGGCTTTGTCCCTCAGGGGTAAGTGAGGGAGGACAGGGAATGTCTTGGAACCTGCCTCATGGAAGGCTGGGGTCAGTGATGTGGGATTAAAGGTCCTTCCAACCCCAACCCTCTTGTGAATCTTTTAGATGAGCTCATTTGAAAACAAACAGCTCAAACTAAAATAAGAATGCAACCTCTTTTGTCCAAATTGGGTGTTGCCTTTTTCCTTCAGTGACTTCACTGAGATCCAAGTTGGCAGCCTCCAACTTAGATGTGAGCCTGAAGATTCTTAGGAAACCCCATCTGAAGGCAGTGGCTCTCCTCCTGTACCACGAGAGGGGCAGAGCCCTCAAGAGCCAGGCACCGCACCAGGGAGCACTGACACAAGGAGGCTGCGCACCTGGGGCACTTCCATCCCCTTCCAAGGGCACTGTGCTCCCAGACACTGCTCTCAGTTGTAGTGGGATCCTCGTGAAGACTAGCAAGGGAAGACTAACACCAGCACAGCACCGACTCCCCAGGTACAGCGGGGTTAGGACAGGCTAATTTTACAGCCTGAACTCTCAAGCGCAGCCCCACACCCAGCACTGAGAGCCTGCAGTGAAGCCAAGGCTCCCCCTCCCTTTTGCCGGCCAGCACTCAGGAGTGTCCCTGAAGGCAGCAGCCCCCCGAGCACCCAGCCCAGCCCAGCCCAGCCAGCCCAGCCCAGCCCAGCCCAGCCCCACTCACTGCCTGCGGGGGCTGTGGGAGCGCGAGCGTGACTTTGTCCGGGAGCGGGAGCGGCTGGCGCTTCGGCTGCTGCGGCTCCTCTTGCTCTCCTTCCTCAGCCTGCAGGGCACAAACCCAACTGCTCAGCACTGACACAGCACAGGGGCTCGGGAGGAGCTGCCTGCACTGCAGCCCAAGGTGCTTCTCTTAGCAGAGGCTTTTACCTACCCGTTGTAAGGGCTCTTGGAGGTTTGCTGCCTCTCTTCTGGCTCTTTTTTAACGGTTTTGGTATTCACACACACTGGAGATTTCTCCTCAGCTTTTACTTCTCTTGGGGAAGCTAAGAATTAAATTTTAATTCAGAATTAGTTCTTTATCCATCCTTTGTCATAAACACACTGTACATTGCTCAGACACCTTCACCAGGATTTGCACTAAGTGTAGATATGAACTTTACATCTATTATTTCATCCCATCTCTCCACTTATATTCACTCCTGGAATGGCATATTCGTGGGGAAACACTCTGCCCATGAAGGAGGAACAGCACTGGCACCTTCAGAGCACACAGCCATGCTCACCTGGGGCCAAAAGGTACAAAACAGAAGCTGCCCTTGTGCCTCACAATACAGAACATGCTACCTCGGCATTTATTTCCAATGCTATAGGAAGGACTAAGTGTGACCAGCAAAATCAGATTTCATCTTTACAATAATGGCACAAATATAAATGAGTAATAAGTAAAATTATCCAGTTAATACATCAGTGTCTCTACAGACAGTTGGTACAGCCCAGAGATGGATTCACCTTTCATGGAAGGGCTGTTAAGCCCACCAGAGCTCCTGCTTTCAAACTCTTCCAACCTCAGCTCCCTCCTTGCAGAAAACACTTCCCTTGTGCAGTCAGAAATTCACACTGCCCAGCCCAAAGACCTCTGAAAACTCAGGACTCTTCAGGAGAAGCCATGAGAGCTCAGACAGATTGGCCAGTTCAAAATACACGTTCCATTTAATTCCCTCTGATGCCAAGGCAGTGCTGGGCCTCTCTGTCCTCCATTTCCTGCCACCAGCTGTCTGCCCTCACTGCACCAAACAGCTGCCAAGCACATTAAAAACCACCAGGGGAAGGAATTTTCACAGATACCTGCTGCAAAAGGGGCCATGAAGGCTATTGCAGCACCCCCAAATTAAATCCAAAAAGCCTCTCTTCACATCACAGAACACACAGTAACTCCTGCTTCATTATTCTCTTATGGGTGCATACTACTGATGTATCACTCTCTTATCTAGGGAAATGTGGAATAAATAATCTCTTTCTAATCTAGTTTCAAGACCTATGTGAAAAAAAAAACCAAACCAAACCCTAGAAAAGTTTTTCTGTTCAGAAAATGGACTTACATGGTTTGGAGGCAGGAGAAAAGCCACCCAGTGTTGACAGTGCTGGAGTTCCATCTGGATTTAAACCTTTTGCTTTCAGTTTGGCCTCCTGTAGTGCCATTTTCCTCTTTTCTACTTCTTTATCCAGAAATTCGTAATTGGGCTGTGGAGGTAACAACCAGGTAAGAAGTTGAACTAATGCAATTCATATCTCATCTCATTTCTGAAAAATACCGAGTTGGCTTTTAATGATCTGTCCAGTAATGTCACTTCCAGAATTTGTTCTCTCCTTACTGGAGCCTGTCTCATTAGCACATGTGTATTAGGCATTCCCAAACTTTTCTGGACAACCATAACTCAGCTCAAGCTGCACTGAGCATCAAGCAGCAAACCCCAACATGCCAAACTCACCTTCTTTCTGGTATAAAGCTTCAGAGTTGTTAAGCAGATCTCCTGAATCTCCTCTTCCGTGGTGCCAAAGAGCAGGAACCAGTGGGGACGGGTAGGCAGCGGGATCTGAAAATCAAACAAGGAGAAGCTTAATGGAGATCTCAGGTGAGTTTTTGTTGAAGTATTTCCATGAAGCCAGAGCAGCAGCAGTGCCAGGCAGAGCTCAGTGCAGGCAGGGCTCACCTGCAGGGCTCTAGCAGCGAGGTAAATGCACGCACACGCGATGGTCTCTGGCTGGAAGCGAACAAACACGTTCGTCCGGAGGCTGTCGTTCATGTAATTCCTGAAAAAACCAAGCAGCACCGGTTGGAACTCCAGTTTGCTTCTCTTTCATTGCATAACAATACTGGAGACTCAATTGACTTTATTATTTTTTCTGTTGTTACATTGAACACATGATTCCTTCAGGTTGTGCTGGATGTTTACATGTGTCGCTGTGACAGTCTGCAGCACTGCCACTGTTTTAAACCCCAAGGCAATGACGTGTAGCAGTAAATCCAAGCAGTGTGGAACAGCCACTTCCTCCTTGAAGTTACCCTGGGAAGTGTCCACTGAGTTACAATTTAACAATTACTTTGCATCTGTCCAACTGATTGTCTTAAACACCAATGGGTTTGTATTTAAAGATCAATGTAGAACTCAAGAGCCATCAGCAGAGCAAGGGGCATTTTCAACCTACCATTATCCAGAGGCTACGTGCAACCTGCAGAGTTCATAAAACTCTCAACTGCACTTAAATTTTGTGTGCTCTGAGTAACTTCATCCAGGGAGATGCACCCCATTTGCTCTCTGAGTGTTGGAAAAAATGTGTGAGTTAGGACTGGGCCCCAACCTCCTGAGCTGCTGCTGCACAGGGCTGGCACTGCCAGTAACACCCACCCAGAGATGGGGTGAGCAGCAGAGCTCCATGGATTTCTAAATTCCCAACATGGGAGAGAGAACAGCAGTCAGTCAGTGAGGACTCTACACCCCCATGCCCAGCTGGCTGCTAAGTGAACATGCTGCATGCACTGTCACCCTCTGTTTAACTCAAGTTTAAATGTTAAACCAACTAAAGAAACGCTGGCAGAATTGTCCCCCACGTGTCCTTTAACATACAGCAGGTAGGCAACAAAGACATTGAGAAACAGTTGTAACAGTTACTTCTAGAACCAAATATACAAATCCTGGCGCCAGGACAGAACTAGGAGGTGCTGCCCGATGGCTTTGGGTGACGGCAGTGAACTCGCTGAGGCTTGCACTGGCTTGGCTGGAGAGAAGGGCAGCCAAAGCAGCCATCCCCAGGTCATGGGCTGAGGTGCAGAGGGCAGAGCTCTATGACTTACCAGCAGGGACTACCCTTCAATCAAAGAGTAGAAAAAAGAACAAAGTTAAATTGAGTTCTCCATCGCTATGCTGGAATCAAGCCATGAAAATAGTAGGCAGAAACAAGCACCACAAGATTGTCCAAATGTGTTTGGGTGGTGACTTACATCTCATTGCTTTGCATAGGGATCAGCAGGCTTGTTATTTCTGCTACTATTTTCCTGGCTAGGAAAAGGATGGAAAATAGCAACTTACCAGGCTGTCTGTACCAGGGTTTGATTACGTTCACATTCTAGGACTTGTAAATACATAACAATGATCTGAGGAATAAGGAAAGGGGGGAAGAAAAAAAAAACCAACTGAGTTTCAACACATAAAGCAGGAGTAAGGAAGTACATATATACATATGTAAAAATGAAATCAAACAGTATGCCCAAACAATGGGGGCTCCTTCTCTCCCCAAGCACACACCCTAAGCTCTCATGTCAGCCCATCACGTTCAGACA